CAAAGTTGCATTCCTTACCATATGGGTCTAGGCTGCCAGGGACTCCCCCTCCCCACCAATCTTACATCCATTAGCTAAGGCTCTTTACATTTGTCCTATCACTTATTCATGATCATCCAGATCAATCTCTTGAAAAGTGCATTTATTGAAACCTGATTCCAGCTTTGTCTGAATTGCAAGGGCCTTTCTAGGCCTGTCTCTGCCTCGTGGTTTACAACCACAAAGCCCACAGAGGCTGGGAAAAGAGCTGGCTCAGCACTATGCTGCTAGGGGAGCCTTTTCTAAGCCTAGGAGCATGTAGATCCATCGTCAGGAGAAACACAAGGCTTGGATGCCCAGTGCCCACTGAACAGCCCCAGTGTGCTGGGAGGACGAAGGTAAGTTACGTATCCAGTACTTGTAGTTGAAAACCTGTAGCACCCACACAGTTTTTTGTCCCAGACTCTCAGTGCAGGGGTGTATATTTTTGAGACATCCCTGCCCCTTGCAGGATGGCTGATTTGGTATTACTGCCTAAATCAAGGAAGGCACTGCAAGAGCCTCTTGTATTGTATTAGTATTGTGTATTGTGCTTGTAGGTAGATCTGGAGGCTGAGACAGCCAAGTTCAATCACAAAGAAAACATTAAAAACATCCTGTACTAGAAAAAGTACAAACTGTGTGCTCCTTTCACACACTGAAAGTTGTCTTCCAACCAAAAACACTTTTCCTCTCTGAATAACCCCTGGAAAATTGATGCAGCCATCGTGGTTTAGCCCCTCCTGAGCACATTACTCCTGGCAGTTGTGTAGGTTTGTGCACAAGGAGGATTGGGATGTCTGATTGCACTCAGAGGCAGCACTGCTGTGTCCTGAAGTTCAGCTGAGGCAGCTCATTCTTGCTTGTGCCTGGGAAGAAGCAATCCAGAAGACAATCCAGAGGACATCCAGGGAAAACATGGCGATTCAAGGGTAGTCCAGAACACGCGAGTAAGGAGAACAGAATATGAAGACTTGTTTCTGAAGAATGATAACAGGTGCAGAGTTTTGTGTCTTCCCTCTGGAGCTTACCTCACTGCCCTCTACAGCCGGATAACTGATGAGGAGGCTGTAGCTGCTGGCTACACGCTCCAATGCGTGGATGCCTGGCTGCTGCAGGAAGGGCTGTGCTGCCTGCCTGCCTCTCTGCCCATGCCCTGGGTACAGCACACGAGATCTCCCTCATTCTTCCCCTGCTGACACACCATACTGCGTCTCCTGAGATGAGATACAGGCGTGTGAATGCAAGGGAGAACTTCCGGTTTCAGTCACCTTTTTTTTTTTAAAAAAAAGCATAGAAGGCCAAAGGAATCTGTGGCTTCAACTGATTTTTTGATATCTTGAATAGCAGGAAATGTTATTCATTTCTGAGTCTAGGATCCCAAAGTGCCATATGTTGTTTGAACTGAGAAGTCACATCTTAGAGTTTACTGTCCATAGTGGAAGGCGTGCTGGTGTGACTGTGGGCCAATACTGATGAAACTGCTCTCTGTATGCAAGCAACTTTATTTTCTAAATTATGACCCCATGGTACAGGATCACTTTTCAGGATTGTGCTTTGCTGTGCACTTTGTGGCAAGGCAAGTTCATGGACAGATTGTTACTGAGGCCATAGGAATGAGGATGTTGGTCTCAGAGTTTGTTTAACATCTGAGTGACCTGCCCTTGATATAGGAATGATGGATACATTACTATTTTATTCTTCCCTTCTGTTCCTGCTGTTGTTCCCTTTAAAACCAAAGCAATAGACCAACCTAGTAAACTCCTAGTAAAAGAATAATGAGCCCATTATATAAGGAGCTTGAGTTAAGTGTATGATCAGTATTCAGCCACCTTTACTTGATAGAAAGTGGTTACAGAAAATCATCACTGCTGTTCCTCCTCTTTCTTTTAAGGTGTTCTCTTCAAATTGGTGATTGCTTTTTGCTCCATTTTGTTAAACTGTTTTGTCTGTGGGTGAGGGTGGATGAAAGTTGAAGGGTTTTTACTCTAGTCCTAGAAGAGCAGGGTTTTCCCATCATCTGTGGTGCCTGTGGGAGCTGGCACATCGCTGCTGGGCAGTGCTTGGTCCTACTGACCTTGCTTCTCCTATGGAAGTTCAGCCTTGCTGCCTGGCAGTTTTGGGAAGTTTTCTGCTCAATTTAATCCTTTAAACTGATCAATGAGATGTGTGGCATGAGGGTAGTAAAGTGAGGGCAGTCTCTTTGGTGTCACCATCTGCTCCTGTATTTAGTCAAGGCTCCTTGGGGAATTTCATGTTTAGAAGAAAGGGCTGGTGGAAGGAGATGCACTAAAACAAACTCTGTATTTCAGGAAATGGGGCTATATGCTGGGCAGAAGTTACAATAATTATTTGCTCTGTGGTTCCTTTTCTGGCTGTCTCAGCAAAATACTCCTTTTGGAAACAGCATAACTGGGTGCAGTTATTCTGCTGTGCAGATGTAATTGCTGTTGTACAAACAGCCACAACATCAGAGTAAACTGAAGGAAGTCATTCTGGGCAGCTGAAATACCACAGTGCCTGGGAGTTTCAGCATGTTGCCTTCTATTCCTTAGAAGCACATAGAAGGACCTATCATAAGTTTCTGTGGTGTTGTGCAAAAGAACTATGTCTCCTTGGAGGAGTATTTGTTAATACCTTTGCATGTGGACTTCTGCTGAGAAAGGGGTCTGAATCAGTCTGGACTTTTAGATAATTTCTGTGTGTTGAAGATAGCTGAGTGATCCTATTGCCTATCTCCCCTCTTTTCCCTTCTAAGTGGCATCTGTTAAATAACAGTACTCATGCCCGTGGATTCTCTTCTGTGTCAAATTATCAGCTTCCTGTAGCTCTAAGTTAATTTCTGAGCCCAGGGGGTGGGAAGTCTGTGTAACCTGGACCTCCCTGGTCTTCAGGGACAGTGTAGGGTGCTGTGATAGTGGCCTGCTGCCATATGCAGAGTGTGCATGCTGTGGTGTTGGGGCACAGTGTGAATGGTGGAGTGCAGACTTGTCTTCTGATTAAACTGCACCTCCCTCAGGCTCTCAGCTCTGCCATCCTGGGTTACTTGTGTCTGAAGGCATTGAAGCGCACTGTTTGGGATGTTTACACTTAGTGTCTTATAAAAGGCTTTCTTTTATCCCACTGTTTGGAGACACAACCTTCCTGGTTTTTGACTCTTTGCTTTCTTCCATGGTAGCAGTAGGAGTCCGGTGAAAGTAGCAAAAAATCTTTAAACACATGTTGCTGTTCATATGTTTATGCACAATAGTCAGAACATGATTTGGGAAACTGATGATTTCTCAACAGCAATGTCTTGCCCAGATGCCTCAGGACACTTTATTTCAAGCATCCAGAGTTTTGGAAAAACCTAAGAGGATGTAACAAATCCTCTGTATAGTTCCTCAAAATCTGTGTGTGATATGTTGTTCACACCAGTTCTCTGGGATCTCAAATCTGTAACGTAAGATTCTATTTGTTTTCTATCACTGTTGTTCACTGGCCATAAGGATGATCTTTGCAGACCATCCATGGGTTTAGGTGCTGATCAGATGCAATGGTGCTTTTCATTCACTTGGTGAGGGAAGATTAATCTGCTTGATGTGCTAACTCTAGACCAGAGTATATCAGTAAAGCTAGAATTATGTACACCTTTTTAATGTCATTAAACCCAGTTCTTTTATTGGGAGGACTGGAGGTAGGCCTATAGATGTATCTCCTACAGTAAGGAAAGTCCAGGGTACTAAAGTGTTTAGAGTGATTTAACTTGTTTAAAGAAACCCACCTAAACTAAAAACAAATCATTAAAAATAGAATTAGTGTTTCACATTTTGTATAATGTAATATAGAAACACTATTCAATTTCTTCAGACATATTAAGCCTACAAGCAAAGAGCTAATGGTGCTGATGGGATTAAGAGGGTAGGAAGGGCTTAAAGCACATGATCAATAATTTAGGGGCACACAAAAAATTAGGAGGAAAGTCAGTCTATCAATCGATGAAAGGCAGGATGGCCCTAATGTTGAGCACTTTGGATTTTTCTCAATGTTTATCTAAGCAGAGTTTATGTGATTTCTATGGGAAGACATGGAAGTGCTTAGTTTGCAATAACTGAAATGAGGTGTGGCTTCATGCCTAGCTCTAATTGCAGGTGATGCTCGCCCTGATCTGCCTTCATGCTCCTGCTCTTTCCCTTGTACCAGGTCCAACAGGCAGACAGGCCAGAAGAGGCCAATCCAGCAAACCTGTTTTCCCTCCTATTTTGGTAGGCAAGCTACGAGATCTACCTGTCCTGCAGATCCCTGCACGTGTGTTACCAGAAATCTGGGTTTGTGCTCAGGTTTGTCTTGAGGGACACAGAGTAGTCAAAGATGTTGTAATGTATGCCAAACATCATATATATAATCACATCTAAACACCAGTGCAGACATACATCAGGACCCTCATGTATACATCACTGTATATATACATCAGACAAGCACTCAGGTCATGTCATTTACCAAAGGAAACTCTTGCCAGAGTTTGCAAACAAACCTCTGTGAAATCTGTTTGCTGGAGATTTCTGGAAGCATTTTGACTTACAATGATGTGTGGGTGTATGACATTGTAAACATACTTTATTTATATTTTCTATTATTATTATTATAGCATGACTTTTAATGACCGGCCATTCCAAGTTTTCAAATATTTAGACAGTCAAACCAACTATTCTATGTGTTGGTATCTTTCCATGACACTTCCTACAAAAATTGGTGTTTCCTTTAGTTTCTGCATGCAGCTCATTAAAACTTCTTTTTCTTCCGCTCATGTTACATTAAGAAAAAACAAAACCAGTTTCTCTGAAAATGTAACTAAGACCTACTTAAATATTTTAAGCAGCTGTAGCTTGGAAGTAGCCTCTGAATACTGCAGCTTCTCTCAGCTTTCCTTGGGTGCTTGCACCCTGTGTGCAGATCTCATGGGCTCCAGTTCTTTCTAATGGGATGTCTTCTGGTTTTTGCAGGGTGCCAGGGTATGGCTGCGGGAGCAGGACCAGCTGCAGCCATGCACTGTTGGCTTGTGTGGCAATGGAAATGTTCTCTTCACCTCAGATTATGGCATGGTAAGTGAAGTCTGCGTGAGGTTGTAGCCTATGCTGAGCTGTAAGATGGACTTCTTGGTTTTGCATGACCATCACGTTGAGATTTATCAATGGAAATTTATCAATGGGAATGCTGCAATTCTCTGAAAAGTGACCTGGCTCTGTTACAAACTGTGCCAAGGATCTAACAAATGTTAAAAAGAGAAGATTGTTCTTCATCTCTTCATTTCTCTGCCTATCTCACTTTTCTTGGTTTCCCTTGTGCCATCTTTGAAGGAGTTGTATTAACAGCTTAGCAAAACCATTATATTGGCTAAATGCTCCTGGAAGGAGGCAGCTCCACCAACCAAGCAGCCCTTCCTGCCAAGATGTGCAAGCTGTGTCTCTCTAAGGGTGCTTGTGCTCGCCACCAGCCAATTCAGCAGCTTTTGCTGTCAGCCCTTTGGGCCAGGGTTGGCTCCAGTCAGTGTGTGAAGGCAGCAGAGATGCACAGGACAGCTCAGCAAGGCAGACAAGCTCCCCTGAGAGCAGAGCTCTCCAACAGTGATAAGAATAAGCTTCTTTCCCGCCTGATTTCCAGCCCTGTGCTCCTTGCGGTTCCCTGGTGCATCTACTGCAGTAGTCATGGAATAATATTGGTAGAAGGGACCTCTGGGGATCATCCAAGTCCTCAGTGAGTCAGCTCGCGTGGCTGACCCTGGGAAAACTATCCACAGCCTTCATTGGTGAGTCAGACTGGTGCCTGGGCTGGGAGGAGGATGGGGAAATGGGCAGGACTGTGCCCTCCAGCAGTGAGCAATTAGACCTGCTCAGCTGTTCCGGTGAATGGGCCCTGCAGGTGGCTGCTTTGTTACAGAAAAATGGACAGGTTTTCTTCAGCCTCTTACCTGGCAAACAAAGGAGGGCACAGGGGGAAAGGGGATTTAGGACTCTGGTTTGTGGAGTCAGTGGTAGGACTTTTCAGTCTTGCCTTGAAAGGCCTAGATTTAAAATCATCATTCTTTTATAAAAAGCCTGACTTGTTTCTCAGAGATAGAAATTCCCCTAGCAAACACAGATTTTTTTATCTGTAGTCTCTCAAACCCCTTATTGACTTGTTTTGGGAGTGCTGGATATCACTAACACATTTTAAGGGATCACAAGTAATGCAGTAGCCTCCAGAGGGACAAAAAATGGTGAGTACCTCTGTGACTTTCCCAGTTCTGTCTCTCCTGACATGCTGCTGTGGCCTTGTACAATCTTTCAAACCCATCTGGCACCTCAGAAAGGACACTGGAAATCCCACTTTAGAGCTGTCTGTGTGGGTGCACCCACCCCCAGCCTGTGTTCTGTATGCTGGAAAACATGCTCAGGATAATGCTGGGTGGCTTACAGGTGTGTAAAAGAAAAAAAAAAAGCTGGGTTTGCATTTTTTTCTTCCATGAAACAAGAAAGGCTGGAGGAGCATGTGCTTTACGGCTTATGCATAAAACCATATGGTGATCATTGAAGGCCTTTCTTTATTCAGTGCCACCCACAAGAGCTGTCCTGTCAGCTCCATCCCGCACCTGCCACATTCATTGCTTCATACCTGTAGGAGGGACTGGCAGTCCTACCCCTGGTGAAAACTCTGATAAATGGCTTCACTTTGGGTTGGCTGGGGAAGTTGATCCCTCTGTTTTTTAGGACCCCCAAATCTCGTGTCCTCATGTTTTCTGTGGCCCAGCATCCCCTCAGCCTGTGCAGCTCTGAGGTAAGAAGTCCAGTCATGCTTCAAAGCTTTTGTCATTTGTTTTCACTTCCTTAAAAACACCTCAAGCAATAAATCCATCAGAAATGTAACTTCCTGGGAGGAAAGGAGGAGCTTTGCTTATGAAACACAAGATTGGAAACCATGATCCAGATGAAACAGCCAAATGGTTTATGGATAAATATAACTTGGATGCCAGGTGGGAGCTTGGCTTATGTGCTCAGGATGGCACTAATGGATGGAATTGAGTTTGAAAAGGAATCATTTCTCCCTTGCTGAGTCTGGTGAGCAGCACTGGTGGGCCTCATCTTGGCTTGTTTGCTAGCCAGATTTTGCTTTATTCCTGAGCATTGCAGGGCCTTGGAGAGAGTCATGGTCATTTTACTCTCACTTTGGGCTGAATCTGAGGCAAATTTAGTGTGTCACTGGCGAAAAAGTGGAAATCCGTGGCTGTGAGGTGCCTGTTAGGCTGAAAGCTGATTATTTTCATTCCCAAAAATAAAGACTTGCCTATTAACACCTACAGCTTTGTATTTTATATATTAGCTTGTTAAAAAAGGGATATTCTAGGGGCAACTTTGCTGAGAGATCAGTTTGCCCTGAGAGTTCTTACTTGCTTCAGGAAAAATCAGCTATCATATTCAGCTCAGGAGTGCTGAACATCAGCCTGCCATATTCTTCCTGGAACAGGATGATGGGGGAGGATCTTTGAAATTGCTCTCCTGGCAAATTTCTGGAAGCATCCAGGAGTGAGCAATGGGGTAACAAAAGCTTCCTTACTGGAACTCTGAGGGTGGAGCATCATCCTGTTTGTGTCTCAAACCTCTGAGCTCCTTGAAGAAAGTCACTTTGACAGTCTTGGGACATGTGTCTGTGTTCAGGAGAATGGATGGTCCTTGCAGCCTGTTGGTGATACAGAGGCTGGAAAAACTACCCTCCTCCCTGGAGAGCAGAGAACAAATTAAAAGTTATCTTTCTTCCAGTGCCAGGAAGACCATAAAACTCTCCCACATGTCCCAGGTGCCTTCCAGAGGCACAGAGCCATCACCTCCCAAAGCTCAGTGGGTCTGGAGGCCCCAGCCTCTGCCTGAGGGAGGGTGAGCTGCCTAGGCATGCGTTAGATGAACCTCCACAGCCTCAGGGACGGAAAAGTGACGATCTGGCCTCGGCTGGGATGGCAATGTGGCATCACAGTGCTCCTCCAGGGAGCACATTTCACCTCTGCAGTGCTTCTGTGCCGAGGGTACCACAACCAATACTACAGATCCACCTCTGGTCCTGCCAGAGCACCTGCTTAACTCTTTATGGATATTGGGCCAGACTTTTTTTAGAGAGGAATAGCTGAATAACACCAATCAAGTGGCTCAAGACAGGTATAACAGGTGATTATCTAAGCCTCACTAATAATTTACTAGGTAAATTATAATACCTAAATAAATTAGTAAATAAATACTATTTATTTAGGTGTATTTAGGACCCTGTTCCTTACTAATAATTTACTAGTGTATTCAGGACCCCTGTTCCTCTTCGAGGTTCCATTTTCTCCCATGCTGTCTACAGGAACAAGGAAATGAGCTCTGACCCATCACTTTTTGTGCATAGCAGCCTCTGGGCACAGGTGTTGCTAGCTGCTTGATATCTTTTAGGACACTTGTCCACTCAGCTTTTTGTCTAAATGTTTTCTCCATGTTTCTCTTCTGGCCCAAATGGCTGCAAGTGCTGACAGAGCAGTAGTAAATGATTAAGTACCAGGCAGATATAAGGAAAGATCACGTCATACTGTTTCTTACTTGTCTGCTTCCAAACTTTGTGTAAGTCAGCAGACAAGAGAGAGACAGGGTTGTTTGCTACCTCCTCGTTTGAAAGTGCTGTACTGATTTTGTTCCTGACAGTCCAGTTCATGTTGTGCATCTGCAGCTTGTACTCCTGAATTTAGTTTTCCCACTCTCCCTTTCTGCTCTCTTTGGGAGTTCTCTCTCAGTTCTCTTGTGAAAGTGCCTGAGGTCTCTGCTCTGAAGAAGAAAACAAAAAAGTGTGTTTCTTTTTTTAGGGTCATTGCAGAGTGGGGGTCCTGCTGCTGGCAGTCAGACCTCTCTGACACCCAGGAGCAGAACTGGTGTGGAGAGAGCCTTTTTGCTGGACTGGGATTTGTTTTACACTGATCATGAACGTGAACTGTGTATTTTTGAAAACCTCCTGGCTGATGAAGGAAGTGGGCTGTGAAGGAGTCTGCCAGTGGAAGAGACCAAGGGGTCCTTGCCACACCGGTGTGACTGGTCAGGAATGGGGTGAACACACCTGAGGGACTGAGCCAGCTTCTCCTCCCCAGCTCCCTCCCAGAACAGAGCTGCTCTTGTGGCTGTGCATCCTGGTGATCTTGTAGGGGATGCTTTGCCGTGTTATTGCTCCCTGCACTGGCGGGGTGCAGGCTCAGAGCCCTGAAGGGGTGAACACCTGTGATGTGCTGCACTGTGAGTGCCCTGCAGGGACTCGCAGGGGTGGCTCGCTGGAGGGGGCTGGGTGACCTCAATCTGTCTGCAGCCTGCAGCTGCGGGGATGGCCTCTCCCCAGCAGTGACGGCAGCCTGAGCACTCCAAGGAGGTGGGCAGGAGAAACCAGTTAGATCAATGCTATAGATCAGTTTGTTCTCTATGGAGCCTGTCAGTTTCTTGCTGGCACCCAGCAGGGCTGACAGGCAGGGATGGAAATGAGGTAAAGACCAGAGCCCTGAGAGAGGAGCAAAAGCAAAAGATTCTTTGGAGGGGTTACTGTGGACCAGTTTCCTTCTCCAGGATGCCTATATGAAGTCTCCCATCTGTCTCTCTTTGGGTCTTACCATCTAGCACAGCTTTGGATGCTGGGTGGGAGATGGCACATGGCTGAATCCAAGAGTGGGAAGCAACTGAAATAACTTTTGTGAAATGCCAGCATCGTGCTTGAGGAGGAGGAAAGGAGGGCTGGGATGTGCCTATGGTGGAGGGGAACAGTCACATAATCTCAGCTGTGTTGAAAGGGGTGAGGGAGATGACCTGATAACTGAAGAGTGCGTTATTGAGGAGGAGAAAGCTCTAGCAGGAAGAAGGATGCAGCAATTGAGGCAAGATGAGTGGAACTGCACAGAGAGATGAGTACTTCCTAGAGCAGTGATTGAAGTTAATAGGTGTCATTGTACAAATATTTTGAAAGCTGTATCATACACATATGTGTCATCACAGAGAGAGAATGTCACTACTTTATTTGGCTTCTCATGTGCTTTGTTTTCCTTTGCCCTTGAGGTGACAAACTCTTCTAGATGCTCTCTGGCTGCTTCTGTGGAGAGTGCAGAGCCAAACTTGGAATGTGAATTAGCTTTTCCTCTACTTCCCAATGGTCAGAAACATGATCTCACCTGTGTTTTTTTGTGAAAGACTGTCCCTGGTCTCTTGGGAGCAGCTGCCATCATTATTCACAGTCATGAGTGCAGTGTGTAATACCTGTCTAGCCTAGCAGGTGGAGGCTGGTGCCCTGCTCCTGTTAAGGGGAAATTAAATAACCTTATGTTGATTTGTCCCCATCAGTACTGAAAGTGAGGGATTGGTTGTGTAGTAAAAGAAGGGAGTATGCTGTATAGTTTCTGTCCAGAGAGCTCAAATACGTAGGAACAGGAATGGAAGAGTGATTATAAAAGTAGGGAGCAGATCTGTGTCTTACTAATTTTGTTTTTCAGTGCCAGAGTATAAAGGTGCATGTTTCTGGTAGGAAATCAGACCATGTGCCCAGGTATCATGAGCTTCTTTGTCTTTCTCCATATTCTTTCAGGTGTTCCAGTACCCCAAGGCCTCCCTTTCCAGAGAAAAGGTCTTACCCATGCACCAGACCAGCGTTGATGGGGTAGAAGACATGTCCATGCTGGGAGATCTGCATGAAGCTGCCATCCTGCTTAATCTTCACCAGCGCTACCAACAGGGTAACATCTATGTAAGTGCTCATCCCTTTTGGATTAATGGTTTTTGTTTAGCTTCAGGGCTGCCACTTTGCATGAGGTACTGATGTTATCCTTGTCTCTTGAAGACAGGAATTGGAGGAATTTCTGCCTTGCCAGCTCCTTCATCCCTGTGAGATCCTACCCTTATCAGAGGGGCCTCTTTGCCTCTATGGAGGAACTTCCGAAACATGGATGTTCACCTCTGAGCTTTGTGGTAATTGCACAGCTCTGTATCCTCCAAGAACATCCATGTTTGATGAGCTGTCATTCACATTCCCCAGGTTTCCCATTATGGCTGTTCCATGGTTTATAAGGCCAAGCAGACTGGAAAGTGCAGCATATGCAGGTTGTTGCTGAGTATCTCTCCTGATCCAGACAGATGAAGATACTGCCTAACAAAACTAGGAATGCAAACCTGTTGTGCCTTTTTTTTTTTTTTTTTTTATTATAACTCTGCTCGCCTTGCACAGGGGAATACTCATAGCATCTCATGATCTCTCTCTGAGGAAGGAGACAAGTGTTAGGAAAGGATCTTGTGAGGAAAAGCACACCTGGGACAAGACACCCCTGAGCTGCTGGGATGGCAGTGCTCTGCTGAGACTTGGAGAGAACAAGGAGGATAGATTACAAAGACTGCCTTACCTTGCTTTACTCTTGACTTGCTTGTCCATGTTTTGTGCACACAGAGTTTTCATAATATGACAGAAAAAATGTAAATCTCTGTGTTGCATAGCAACCGTTATCAAGGCAACCAAACCATATGCACCTGTATTCCTGTAAATTATTAGTAAAGTGACCCTGTTTCTGAACCACCTCCTTCACTGGATGCAGAGGAGACTGTAAATTCTCTTGGCTTTTTTGCTGTAGGCACCTTTGCCTGTTCCTTGTGACCCTGTGACAGTACCCAATGCACATTATTTTGATGTCCCAAATCCTTGCTGCTCTTCTTGTGCTGCTTTTGACACATGCTATGTATCTGTGCAGCTTTTGACACATTTGGGTATATTCCCCCTGTTCCTTCTTCCTCACACCTTAAAATGCAATGCAGGATTCTCTTCCTTTTCAGTCTGTGTCTTGTACCAGAAATGCCACAACACCAGCAGTGTCACAGGAGCTGTATCTCCATAAGCCTTTCAGCTAGCTCTGATGTTTCATTCCTTCTCCTATTCAGCATTAGTTCTGGGCCTTCTCCATCCATGCATGAAGGTGTTAAAATTTAACACCTTTACACCTTGTTTTTTGCACTTTGCATAGTGCCTGAATCTCAGATGTGCACCTCCGGTCTGGAAGTTTTGGAGATGTATGAAGGGGCCTGACCTCTGTAACATGCTCAGCACTGGGAAGAACCCCTCAGTGTAGTATTATTAGCCCCACCATAAGCTCCTAGAGGGGATTCTTTCTAATCAGGGAGTGTAGGTAGCAGTATATCTGAACTGGTCTGGCACCCATAATTAATTTACTACAGCAATACTGACAAGCTCAACAGTACCTTTTGTTTTCCAGAAAAATACTATTCAAGCTTTACCCAACTGAAGGAAATTATGTGAGCACAGCAACAGCCTGCATCTTCCCTCTTCATTCTTACAATTCCTATATTCTTTAATAAAAGTAGACCCAACATAATGTGAGAGATGTAGAAATGAGCCAGGGGCTGTACTGCCACATTTTGTGCTGTCCTTAGCAAAGTCATGCCTAACCATCCAAGGTAGGACCTGTTGTCCTGAGAAGTGGACTTGCCACATGTGGCTTGTCCTGCTCTGGAGAGTTCATTGTGGGGCAATTACTTTGCTGATAGAGTAGCTGGTACATACATGGTTTTAGTGCTATTAAAAATTATGGATAGAAATTGTCTATAAAGGAATGCATGTGATGAGGAGACTGTGACTGGGTGGTGGAAAAGTTTCCTAGGAGCACCTTTGAAAGAGATGGCTGTACTGGAAAAAGTTCTGGAAAGGACTTTCCAGAAGCTCTCTGGAAAGGAGCTCTGTTCTTAGTGAAACAACAATGGAAAACACAAACTGAAACATCCGAGAAGAAAAGATGCTGTGAAGGTCTGGGAGAAAAGTTAGAATGGGCATTCTAACTCTTGTAGTTCCTGGCCAATGCCTGTTCCTCAGTTGCTTGTACAATGCTTTTTCCTCAGTTTGTGTTTTCTCACTCAATGCTTTCCTCTCTCTCTCCACCTCTCTGGCCAAAGATCATCTGCTTGCTTATTGCTTTCATTACCAATGAATTATATTTCTGCCCACAAAGGTCCCTGTCAGAGAGTCCTCAGGACTTGATCCATGATAGCCTGTTTGTACTGATAATACAATGTGATTTTTTTTACACCCACCCCCCCCCCGCTGATCTCTGACTGCTGCTTTAATAAATGAGTTTTAAATACTTTGGTGACTACAGCATCTTATCAGTCTGGCTTCTGGCTTCAGAGCTTGGCATCGCTGTAGCCTCAGGTTTCATTTGGCCTGATGAGTCTTCCTTGTCACCAAGTGTTTAATTTATAGCTTCTCCAGCAGATACATTCATATGCTTTAATATCTGCTGGGCGACTTGTAGTTAGTTCATGGTTTGCAAACCAAGCTAGATGTTGTCCCTGACCACAAAGCTTGGCATCTCCTGCTGCAATCTAAGTGTTTACTCTGGCTTGTCTGGTGAGAATGGGTATTCCTTGAGTAGAGCAGTCCAAGATGTCCCTGTGAGGGAGACCACCACACCTGCAGCATGGATGTTGACCATATTACAAAGCCATGATTTGGAGAGAGGTGGCACCATTGCTCTGAAGTGCAGCTCTGAGAATAACTGGATTTGAGCTGGTTGGCTGAACCGAAAAAGTCATGCCCCAAAAAGCAAAATTAATTTCCTTCTGACTGCACAAAATAATACATTTGAAATTCAATATTGTGCTCTGGGTATTTTATTTTTAATCTTGCTACCTCTTTTTTTTGGACTGTGAGATTTTCAAAATAAATATTTTCAAAATAAAATGTCTAGAAAATACAGAAATGTTTTGACTTGAAATCCAGAGCTTCATCTTCAGCTGTCAATTTTGATTTGGTTTACCGAATGATTTAAGCTGCACCAAACAACATTTTTTCAGCAGAAGGAAAATTATATGCTTTAGTGGTTCTTTGTGTGTGTTTGTGTGTGTGTGTTCCTACTCTATTCAGGAGGTTCTTGAACCCTGCCAATCCCCCTTTGCTTAGGACTGTGGATAGCAGCATTGAAGGTGTCTCCTGACACTCTTTTAGTCCTGGCTCTGCTATTGAGCTTCAAGCACAGTGCAAAGGGTAGCACAGTAGCTGGGTATGAAGGTGGCTTCATGTTTTTAAATTGTGTAAGCTTAATTTAACAAAGACAACAGGATAAGAATGTTATACTTTAAAGCAGCAAAATTCAGAGTGCCCCATCCATACCCAGCTGTACAGCTCCTCCTCTGGGGTTTGACATTCATTGCCAAACTGTGGAGTTCTCTGCTGAAGCCCAAGGTCCTTATTTAGGCTTTCTGCTTCACCATGACTTATTTCAGAGTCTGGCTTTGTTGTGATTTTTTTTTTTCCCTAGGAGCTTGCTTCATTTCCTTTCTGTGTTTTGTTTTTTCCCCGTAGACAAACATTGGTTCCATCTTGGCATCAGTAAATCCCTACAAACCCATCCCTGGTCTGTACAGTGTGGATGCCATAGAGCTGTACAGACAGCACCGGCTGGGTGAGCTGCCTCCCCATATCTTCGCCACCGCTAACGAGTGCTACTGCTGCTTGTGGAAGCGTCATGACAGCCAGTGTGTTCTGATAAGGTTAGAAATGGAGAACCAGCTACTCCATGGCTGCATCACACGCCCTGTTCCTGCTGTTCCATTTGCATTGACATCTGCCTGAATACCCACACCATCCTCCCTGCCTTTGCCTGAGCCCTGCGTGTCACAGCGGAGATGTCACATGTTTATTCCTAGAGATCACTTCCGTGCCGCGGGTAAGATGGTCATCAGCTCTGTCTGTCCTGGATTTGTGAATGAAATGTATGCTTTCTCTTAACAGTGGCGAAAGTGGAGCTGGAAAGACTGAGAGCACCAAGTTGCTCCTGAAATTCCTGTCAGCCATGAGCCAGACCTCCCTTGGGGCCCCTGTGTCTGAGAAGAGCACTCACGTGGAAGAAGCCATTCTGGAAAGCAGGTAGAGTCACCTTCATGGGCACCTGGAGTGCTGGCTCAGCCTTCTTTGGGGGTCCCTGCCTTTGGGGGGCCCTGCCTTTGGGGAACCCTGCCTTTGGGGGGCCCTGCCTTTGGGGAACCCTGCCTTCTGGGCAGCCAGGCCATGGATGGAGCCAGGCCTGGGTGGAGAGGGTCACAGAGCTGAATGGTGGCACGTCAGGGAAATGTGAAGATTGTGGTCTTGCTGGGATGTCTCACTCTGGCTGCTCTCCCAGCTGTCCGTGGATGGATTAGGCTTCTTTCCAACAGCAGTGTGGGATGTGTGTGGCAACTGGAGAGTTAGTGCTCTAGCTCTCGACTCTAGCTGTCCTCACGGTGAGTCTCTGTCATACTCTGACTCCTGGTTTCCTCCATGAGCCCCGCTCTCCCCCAGCCTCCCTGTGTTTCAGGCTGCTGGTATGTCTTGCCCTCAGGAGTCCCATGGGCCACCTGGCAGCTCTCCTGCTGTCTTGGCAAGCGATGTCATGGAGAACCATCCATGGGAGCTGGCACCAGGGACCAACCACCACCCACCGAAACCCTGACGAGGCATCAGGCAGGGAAGCACATGGCACCTGAATCAAATGTGTTTGAGAGAGAAGCTGGCAGCATTGAGGGAATGGAGACACATTTCAGGGAAATTCCTTCATGCCTGAAGAAGTCCTGACACTCCTGAGGGACCATAACCCAGGCCAGGGCAGGGACACCCCTGAGGGACCATGACCCACAGGTGACCTACGCTGGAACAGGGAGATGGAGGGAAAAAGTATCCAGAAAAGCTGAAGAAGCAAAGTGTGGCTGAGGAAAACCAGTAAGAGGCAAAGAGCAGCAGAGACAATAAGGAAGCAAATAATGACAGAGAGAAAGTCCTGAGTGTGACCCCAGGCTCCTTTGCTGCCATGCTGGGGGAGTTTTGAGGGAGTGGGTGTAACCTGATGTAAAATAGAAGCTGAGGCTAAGAAATGGAGGACAGTAGGTGTTTAACTTTAGGTAAGCCTGGGAAAGATGCAGGAAAGATACATCTGTTTTATTCTTTGTGTCCTTGTTATTCTTAATACCTGAATTAACAAATTACATTAAAATTTCCCAGACTGTCTTGCCTGTGGCTGAAGGACCTTGCTGGGGGTCCTGCAGTTCGGTACTGTCAAGGCTGAGGCTGCAGATCAGTCCCAGATGGAGCCCGTGATAGTTGCAGAAACCTCCAGAGGAGGCTGCTGTGAGAGCATTGTGGGGTTTTAGGTCCTTACAAGCAGAGCAGCCTTGAGCAGAAGGGCTGCTGCCCTTGGACCTGGTGTTACAGAGACTGTTGGATGATTTATTCTTTGCAGGTATGCAGATCTTAGCAGGCATGGAGACAAATTAGAAAAAGCTCTGAAGAGCAGTACAGTCATGACTCAAGATCTGAAAAATCTGCTTTAAGACAAGCGGCTTAGAAGGCTCAAGCACTCTTAGCAGTTAAGTGATAAATTGACAGTGATCCAGAGAGCTTATGATGGTGGGTAGGTGATTCCTGAGTCTGTAAGATGCCACAGCTGTGAGCTGGAGTGAAGTCAGAGATCACAACCTGTTCCATGTACATCTCTAGTGCTACATGAACTATTGCATGAGTGCAAGAGAATCTGATTTGTCACCTCTTTTCTGAAGACAAGAAGCTGAACCAGACCCAGAAACTGCTGCCACTCCTATGGACCCTAGTTCATGTGTTTGGAGTTCACCTGTACTTGATCTGACAGTGGCCCTCCTCAGGCTCACTTACTGTGGATTTTGATCCTTGCCCAGCACATACCAAGGAACAATGCTGGATTCTTTCTCAGTTTGCAAAACAAAGTGTTCATCAGCAACAATCAGTTGCTTGTGCTGCAACATTCATGCTTGGTGTATTTCTCACAAATCAGGCTCTCAAAACTCCTTTGGCATTTGATTTTGTCTCTTTTTCCTTATTGAAAATATCCATCAGTTCATTAAAAATTCTGCTAACATTGAGCTTTTTTCTTGCTTGCTTCACTGTGAAGCTCCCTTCTCCATGTTGGGTGCCACTGCTGAAAGCATAGCTACCTTTCCTGCTACTCATCCCCCCAAGTCTTCAAATTGTTTTGTCTTCACCTGTGCATGTGAATCCTGAAGCTGCATACGGTACAGTATTTCTGCCTCCAGACTTTGCTTTCTGCTGCCCTGTTGAATCTGGTTCCCATTATTTTGAATGCTGGAGTTCATTCTGCCTGATCTAGCGAGCAGCCAGCATCACCTTCCTGATGTGCTGCTCTGCCTTGCAGTTCCCTCCTGCCTCAGGTGCCACGCTGTGATGTGCTGCTGTCTCTGCTTGGCCCAGGCTCCTGCCCTCGTGCCTGGCTGAACCAGCTCACCTCACCCTTGCAACTGCTCAGACACCCTCCTGATTATTTCCCTCCCACAAGCCTGGAAGAATTTGCACTCGTGTGTGTGAGCTCGTTGCCAAACTGAACTATGAGGATATTTCCTTGTGCTTTTCTTAGATAATTTAACATGATTTAGAGCCCCCAAGATTGGCTAGCTGGTTCCTGTACTCTCACTGAATCTGTGGTGGTCATATAACCCTGTCCTCCCTTTCTCTGGCTGTCCCCATTAATTTTTTTGATTCATGGCAGTGGTGTGCTCAGTGGGATATTTCTGTGCAATGTCCTTATTTACATACTTGTTTCAGAGGTGTGGGTGTTGGAGCTCAAATTCTCCAGGGTGAGGAACTTCCCTGATTTGTGCACTCAGATTTCTCTGACATTTCTGTGGTTGTAGTGTGTTATAACAGAGGAATTTTCATTTTTATCCTTGTTACTTGAAAGCAATTGTTTCAAGAGATGTTAGGAAAATGCTGCCTGGATTTTCCTGAAGGTTGTTGAGTGTTTCCTTAACTGCAGCTCTCCCTTAGCTAACACTTGCAGGGCCTGAGGCTTTCTGCAAGCTCCAGGTTGTCTCCAGTTGTGGTTTTTTTATGCTGTATTTACTAACTTGTGAATAATCCCGTATCTGCCCCAGTCTCCAGTGGTTCTGCACAACAGATCTGTGAAGCCAATATTTCTCAGGGTAATAACAGCAGTAATTTTTCTTTAAAACTATGTATGTTTTAAAATTAGACATGAAAACATACAGGCTGTTCTTGTAGCATCTCTGTTATTCCTTGCTTGTCAGCCCTTCAGATTATTTTAGAATTGGCTTAATTGCAGAAATGAATATTTCAATCCTGGATTCAGTGTGTCAGTTTGAATGGTTTAGGCTTTTCCCTTGCACTGTTCTGTGAAGCAAGTACCAAGCATTTTAACTTTTTTTTTTTTTTTTTTTTTTTTCCTGGTGATTGGAAGGTGACCAGCAGACAAAATTCTTCAATTTATGATTGGTCTGACATTTGGTGATAGCTTTTTTTGCACTCTTTTTTGTGACCTGAAGTGGATGATGTCGCACTCTTAGAATGTAATTTTCAAATCTACAGTGTGTGTATAGTCCCTCTACTTGGAAACCATATGGCTTATATCAGCCTAAGCAAGGTTTAGGCAACAAGAACTTGTGTGTTCCAGTATCAAATTTAAGTAGCAAACAAATTGTTTTATTACTGTTTGTTAGTTTGAAGATGTTTGCCTGTAATTTTAAGAGATGGCTTATCAAAGGCAGAAGGAATAAAGAGTGAATATAGACGTATGTGGTTTAAAGCTGCAGAGTGTTTGCCACGTATGTCTGATGCTTCTGAAAATCCTTGAAAATACATGGTTGCATTCATGGGATGTGCTGTGTCGAGGACACAACCTGGCTGAGTCTTGCCACCTTTCATTTGCTGAAGCCACTGGTGGGGAATGCCCTTGACAGTGTGAGCACCAGCTGCCCATACAGATTGGGGACTGATTTAATTAATTGCAGTCCCGAAGGTTTAAAATTTATCTAGCAGCATGTTAAATTGCTCTTTAAATTGCCGTCCGTCCTTTCCCTTGAGCTCTCCCTGCTTGTCCAGGCTGATGCTGTAACAAATAAATCTCTCATGGCAGAACAGTGTGCAAATGTCAAAAGACTGGGCACACGTTTTGTTTTAATGGTATCCCATCACTAATTATATCTTCATGGCCTTGTTTCTACAGCCCCATTCTGGAAGCCTTTGGAAATGCCAAGACAGTTTATAACAACAACTCCAGTCGCTTTGGCAAGTTCATCCAGCTGCACTTCTCTCAACATGGACACATCCAGGGAGGCCGAGTAACTGATTGTATCCTTTTCTGCAGTGGACCAGAAGTGGACTGAGTGAGCAAAGATGAGGAGGAGCTCAGTGTAGGTCAGGAAATCCCTCATCAAAAGTTTTTCAAAGTCAATTTACACCTATGGGAAAATTTGCAACTGAAAGAAGGAAGAAGTATTTGTTTTGTGGCTCTGCAGCACTTGACTTTGGGAACCTTTTGTCTCAGTAGTGCATTAGGTAGGGACATAGTTTGATTTTCACTTTGTTAATCTCAACACTTGATACTTAAAAACCCTGGAGTTTTCTACCTCAGAAGATTCCCCCAGGTGGATTGCATCCTGTTTGCTCCACATGAAATTGTTCACTTACCTTAGCTCTGCCAATGAATTAGTGATTGAGAAAAGTGAGACCAAACTAAGAATAAATATATTCTGCACAATATCTGGGTGCAGAAGAGGATTATGAGTACCTGTTTTGGGCTGCCATCTTCAGTGGTCCTTGGAACCCTAGTCATAGAATATCTCGAGTTGGGAAGGACCCATAAGGATCATTATGTCCAACTCATCTCAAATCTACCTAAAATGAAATCTTATGACTTATGAACATTGTCCAGATGCTCCTTGTATTCTGATGAGCTTGGTCACATGACCAATTCTGTGGGGAGCCTGTTCCAGTGACAACAAGGACAGTGAAGACTGGTTATAGTCAAACTATGTTGTGCCATGATGGCTTTCTTCCCTGTATGCCCAGGTACCCCTCTCCCAAAGGCTTTGGCATATCTTTTGTCTCCATGAGGCAGGTAAAGCTGCCCTGGCTACATTTCTTGATGTATGTTCAAAGCTGCTGCTGGCTGCAAGCCACACCAATTGCCACTGGAGTAGCAGCCAGATTAATTTAGTGCTGTTGTAAATGACAGGCTTGGATTGTTTGGCCTCTGCTCTTTGTGCTGTTGGTAGATTTAAGATAGCAGTCTCTTGCAGAAGCAGAGAACTGATGCAAGACTCGTTGTGTGCAATGCAGACTTTCAGATAAGAGTGGCCTCTAATCTTTCTGGGTGTCCCTAATGTGGCTCATCTTTTGTTAGGTTATCTATGCTCTACCTAGCCCTGCCCTTTTAAATATCTTTTTGGCACACCTCCTTGGACAGTGAATAGAGAGGATGATCTAAGTAGTCTTTACCTACTCTCCAAAGTGTCAGTTATTTCATGATTTGTTGGTTGTTGCAGGGTTCATCCCAATGAGGATTTTTTGCCTATCATCAAATCTGTCCTTCTGTCACTTGGATGTTTTTTCCATAACATGCTGTTCAGATTTACTGGAAAAGGTAGGTATCACCTCTGCTGAGTGCTGGGTGAGCCCTCTCCTCATAGGAGGTGTGGCAGTGCCAGATCACCTCGTGGATGAGGCTGTCTCCACCACAGCGTGTAGACAACAGCTCCTTAAGTGTTAATACTGCAGCTGTCCCAGCTGAGGAAGAGGCAGAGGAGCAGTGTTTGTTCTGTATCTATCACAGCCTGTTCTCCCATCTTTGATAAACTCTCTGCATTACACAGAGACTCCAAGAAAGAGCTGTTTACAGAGGAGAAGGGGAGAGAGAAGTACCTGGAAACGCAGCTCCATAGAGAAGAGTACAGGGTACAAATGCAGGCATCTCTGGTTGGATGTCATTTACTTTGGAGTCAGGAATTCACTGAGGAGCAGGGCCAGAACTGACAAAGTTCAGTTTGTTCATATGTATGCTCAGTTGCACAGCCCCAAGGATCTTGATGTAGAATTTATTTAGACAAAACTATCATTAAATAGCAAGAAGCCCCTCTCGTACATTGGCTCTGGTCTGGTACATTGGCTCGTACATTGGTATCTTGGTCCTCTCTTTGCCTTTGCAGCCACAAGTCTGATCTTCCTCTGCTGGCTACTCTTACATTCTTTGTTTCAGAACAGGGTGGTACATCAGAACCCCGGGGAGCGGAATTACCACATCTTTTATGCTCTTCTAGCTGGTGTGAGCGGGGAGGAGAAAGGTAATTTCATTTTCTGGGATATGTTTCTTGTCATGTTTCCAGTCTAACATGTGAAGCAGGTGTAAGTCAGTTAGAGACATTTCAGATACTTGATATGTAGCTTCTTCTTGAAGGCCAGCCATATGGTGATTTCATGGGAAACAAGGAAGAAGAGTTAAGAGAAAGAGGCTGAGGATGACAGAAGTTCCTTATGAGAAAAGACTTCAGGCATTCTGTGCTGAAGGAAAAAGTATGTGCAAAGTGATGAGGTAATGGAACTGGCTAGAGGCAGAGGAAGGGTAAAGAATCTTTATTCAGTTGCTGGTGGGAGCTTCAAGGAATTCAAAGGCTGGGTTGATAAATTTTCAGAACAAATCTTCAGTATAGGTAATAGTAGAGAGAAGAATTACAAAGACCAGTGATGTTGTAGTGCAAGTACTAGAGTCAAAACCTGTCTTGTTTCTGAACTAAGGATTTATAGCTCTGTACTTGGGGAAGGGAGAGGTGGGTCTGAAAAAGTGCACACAGAGAAAGTGGCAGCTGCAGCCTGTGGACAAATCCTCTTTGTAGTGCAGCATCACCCTAACAACATTCGTGTGTATCTGTCCCAGGCATTGCTGAGCACTGATGGTGTTCCTGGAGAGGTCAGATAGGTAGGCAGGAGCATGTTACAGTTGTATTCTGGTTTTGAGGACCTGGGGAATTTCTTTATGCTTTTGTTCTCTGGCTATCAGGATAGTCAGATGGAAGATTTGGGCCTGACAGAGTAGAAGGGAGTAGGATTTCAGTTTTAGGGGGTACATGCAGGAATGGCTACTTAGGTTAATTCAGAGATCAATCTAAAGCAAAGGAAAATAGTGGGGATTATGGTTATCAATTTCTTAGGGAAAACATACAAACCAGATTGTTTTCTTCAGCAGATCTCTGCTATTCCTTCCCATCCACTTCTCCAAGCTGGCTGCTTCACCTCCCCATCTGTAATGTGGTTTTGGCTCTTGATCACCCTTGCCTCCTTTCTCCATTGATCTTTTAGTTTTCCTATTTTCTTTTCAAAATGGGGAATCAAATCTGCAGATTGTGTTTAAGATGTGGTTGCACAGCAGATATACAGAGACCTAATTCTGGTTTTACATTTAGTTTTGTGAACTATGTTCAGTTTTAACTGCTGCTTAGCACTAAATGTCTTCAGAAATCTGACTGTGACTCTCTGTGTCAAGTGATGATATCTAATTTAGAGGTCATTACCATATGTATATAGTTAAGACTATTTTTCTGTACACTTGTAGGAGCTAAAATTAATTTCTTTTTCTTGAGTCAGTTCAGTATTGAGATATTCTTCTGAGCCTCTGCACCTTGGGATTTGACTGTTCTAAATAATTTTGCATACCATCTGCAAGCTTTATTACAGCACACCCTCCTCTTCTATGAACTAAAAGAGTGGTTGCTAAATAAATTGTTGTCTCTCCCCTGCCTCTTTTTCTTCTGTTGCAGAGAGTCTTTCCCTCTGTGAGCCAGAGACTTACCACTACTTGAACCAGTCTGGCTGTGTGACTGATGAGAACCTGAATGATGTAGAGATGTTCAGTAAGGTCATGGTGAGTCCAGTCTTAACTCCACCTGAACTTTTTGGGCACAGTCTCATGGGCTAAATATTCTGCTTGGTCTAGATCTCACAGGCAGAATTGATTAGCCCTAAGCCAAAATTTGGTATTCAACAAGTCCAAACCTCAGCTAAAACAAGACTCAGTAAGTGGCTTTAGTGTACAGAAATGGGGGAATTCGGGAAACAGTTGGTATGAATAATAATGTAGAATGATAGAGAATTTGGGGGAGCAGAACCGCACCCCACAGTGGTTTGTGGGAGCCTCCTAGATAGCCTGACTCGGGAAACCTCACACTGACAATTAGAAGTGGAACAGTTTGGTCTGAAGGTACTGTTCTCCATAAGTATTCCAGTAAAGTTATATCACCTGTGGAAATCACCTATTCTGAAATACCACGAAGATTCAATAGACACCTGTTTATCAGAGGTTAAGGGATTATATGCAAATTCATGTTTTATTTGATAAATGCTTGTTGGCCTGAAGGCTTTAATAATGTAGGTGAAACCAGATAGGCAAGATGAGTAGGCAGTTGAGGATTTCAGTAGCTTAGGTGTGATTTAAGGGAAGGAAACACCTGTACAGCAGAAGTTTCAATGACAATATGGCATTTATTCTTCAGCTGAAGAGATGCTGGAGGAGAGAAGAGAGCTAGAACCCCAGAGTGCCCCACTGACAGGGTGAATGCATGAAGATTAGGTCCTATCTCCTGAAGTCAATTTATACCCAAGAACCCTGGCTCAAATGCAGGCACTAAGAGGGAATGTGCCATTCTTCTGTATTATCTGATAATCTCTTTCCAGCTATCTAGCAGTTAATGCTGAAAGCCTGGTTTTAAATCTTCCTCCATAAATCTACTATACTAAGAATGAATTAAGGGGGTTATGTGGATTAGAGTAAATTAAGTATCTTATATGGATCCATCTTTCAGGGAAGAAAATAAGTGAGAATGTGGAAGCCATCCCTTAACACTTGTAACCTGTGCTGCCAGAGTTCAGGGTAGGATTTCTTCACACAGGCACAAACATGTTCTTCCTGTGAAAGACCATTAACAGTGGCAGCGAAGTCCAACCTCAGGGTGGGGCAAATGCCCACCTACCTTAGGTGTCAATAGAGTAAATGTAGAAGAGAATGTGAGACAGTAAAGGTCACTGACAAATGTGTACCTCATGGAGGTGCTGTGCCATCCTGTTTCATTTGTATTCATGGTGACTGTAATTCTGAGTTTTACATCTTACACACACTGGACCTGGCTCTGGTGCTTGCACTGTACTTGGCTGTACATACAGCTAACATTAGCTGTTTGGTTTTGCATAGACTGCCATGAAGGTGGTGGACTTCAGCACTGAAGAAATCAGAGACATCTTCAAACTTCTTTCTGGCACACTCCATTTGGGAAATGTTGAATTCATGACAGCTGGTGGGGCCCAGATAACAACAAAAGCAGGTAAGTAGGACCATAGCAACTTGGTTGAGAGACCATGCAAAGCCCCATAAGATCTCCAATAAAGTCCTCTCTCTTTTCCTTTCTCCCTCTGTTATGCAGGTCTGTAGTACCTTCACCAGCAGATTCCCTGTAGTTTAACCCTACAAAAGCATTGCCACAGAATGCTTCAGGGTACCAGTGGGACTTAATTGGTCTCTGGCCCTGTTTGTGCTCCTGGATATTCTCAGACTGAGTCCACAGCTTCACAGTTTCTCTTTTGCATGAAAGAAATAGGATCAGGAAGGAGTTTGAGATAAAAGAGATCTGTCAGAGACTTTCCCCATCTTCATTTGAAGCAGTTACTAGTGTGCACTCTGTTACAGTTATCTAATCTGAGCTGGTCTGCTGAGTGAGTCCCAAAACAGACAGAAGCAATATATATTACAAGTGCTTCAAGTCTTAAGTTTATTGCCTCTCTTCTTAACATCCCAGTTTATTAATCCCATGCTCAGACTGCAGTATTGGGCTTTTACAAAAATACATCTTCTCATGCAGTGTTTTGCCGGTGCTGAGTTTTACACAGGGTTTTGCCCTTCCTGTTGTCAGCAGGAAGGTTGACTTAGGTGAGTATCTGACTGTGGTCCATAATGGCTATTATGAGCCTCAGACTGGCTATGTAAGCCTACAGCTTTGGGTATGCCCAAGAGAATCAAGTAAGGGTGAGTGTGTTTTGTGCTGGGGTTTAGTCACCTGCCTTGTAGAAGTCCCTGGGACTTCCTCACCGAGCTGCAAAAATATCCCTATGAGTGATGGGGAGCCATGCAGGAGAAAAAAGTGTGTCTTTCCTTTTAGTGCTGAATGTTGCCAGTGACCTCCTGGGCTTAGACGCTTTTCAGCTTTCTGAAGTACTGACACAGAGGTCCATGATTCTGCGTGGGGAAGAGATCAGCTCCCCTCTCACTGTGGAGCAGGTAAGTGTCCTAGTATATGCTTCCTCTTCTGCCACTTCTGCGTTTCCAGGCCCTCAGTCTTCCTCCTGTGTCACCCATTCCAGCCTAGGGCCTCCTTTTTCCTCAGGTATTTTGCCCTTATTGGTAGCTCAGGTCCCAGTGTTGACTCTGCTTTTTAGGCTTTACAGGAGAGATCATTTGCAAATGCCAGTGCACAATACTGGTTTTAAGTCACCTTCTGTCACCAGGAACTGATCATAGTTGTGTCATGCAGAAGGTGATTCAGATGCTTTGTGGTCATTGCACATGTGCATGCTTTAACCTGCAGAACTCCCAGGTTACACTGTGTTTACTGGAAAGTAAAAGTTGGCACACAGCTCCCACAAAACATCCGGCAGATGTTAGGCTGTTACCCCCCCAGAAACTTCTTTCCAGATCCATACAACCACAAAGGAGGACTGAATAAACTGACATGTAGCTCTTGCGGTGTTGCTGAGCACTTGAGGGCACTCTTGGTGTTTTAGGTCCATGCACAGCTAACTGTAGAAAATCCTCTGTCATTAATAAAATGAGAGACATTGGAAGACAAGGAATCCTATTACTGGGATGGAAAAGGCATCATGTTATAGCAAAATGAACATCTGTAATGGAAATCATGTGCTGGCACAGACTGCAGAGGGTTAACAATCCAGCACCTACATTGGCAGAGAAGCCAGAGTTACTAGACTCTCTCTGATGGATGTCTGTCTAACTTTCCTTCAGATTTCCCATGGAAGGAATTTCACAGCATCTTTAAGTATCCTGCTTTAGCTGCAGTGGAGTCTGGAATTGAAAAGATTTTCCTCATATTTAGATTACCTTTGACATCTCAGCTGTCCACCTTACAAGCTTTGGCTTCTGTGAAGTTTTTCATGTGGTATTCTCTTTTCTAAGCTAAACAGTCCAGTTCCTTCAGTGCTTCCTTGTAAGTAATTTTCTAAATCTCTTTGTCTTCTGTCTCTGTTTTCCCACATCTTTTAAGAAGTGGAGTGTCCCTAACTGGGCACTGTATTCAGGCTGAAATCTCATAATGGTAGAGTAGTTGCTCTTATCTTGTTGTGAACACACATGCTAATATGGCACAAACTAAGCTTTGCCTCTTAGAAATGGTCTCTCTTTTTTTGGCATAGTCTGTGACCTTTCTTTGCAGTGAAATTGTGTGAAAGTTATTTTTCAGCCTTTAGTCTGTGGTAGATATCCTCAGTGTCCAACACCACAGTTTTCTTCTCAGCTTTCTGTTCTAAATAGGCTGCATCTTTCTCTAGCAGTGCATGAGGCTGGATAACACATAATACCGGAGGCACTTCATGCAGTCCACAGCAATGGTATGCAGCTGTAGGATTTACAGAGTCTGAACAGAGCTTTCCCTGATGGTATAGCCATTCCTGACATGTGTGTGTACTGGACCCCACACTTACTGCTTGCAGCCCAATGGAGTACCAAGGCCACAAGAAAATTGTGATGGCAAGTGGATGCTGCCATTTATCTGTCTTCACTAGATGGGCCTGCTGCACCCAACACTGGGCCTGTAAAGAGTGTTCTGCCTAAGCCCTAAGTGCTGCACCCATCTACTCCCACCTGTGGTGGGGATAGAATTGCTGGGGATTTCTCATCATGTAATGGGCTCATTACCCATCCCAGCTTTGACATTTCAGTGGGCTGAATGGATGAGCTGGCCTAAAGGCAAGCAAAGCTGGGAGGATGAAAGGCGCCTTTGAGAATCTCGTTTGAGACGTATTGTGGGGAAAATGGCTTTGCTTACAGCTGGATGGGGAGGTCCTGTTCCTGGAAAATGTGTTCAACTTACTGTAGCCAGACACACTACAGAGGCATGGCCTTGAGGGCATTCTTAATCCCAGCCTGTAAGGCAGATCATCTTATGGAGAGAAGAAATATCCAGAAAAGGTGTGTGTGCCCATGCTTTGAAATGTTCTCTTCTGTGGAGAAGGGAGATTATTCTGTGTCAACTTTGAGCTGCTGAAGAGGAAATAGTACCTAGGAAGAGAAAGGAGGAGAAAACCAGTGTGGTTGGGTGAAAAGGGGGATCTGGTAGGCTGGGCCTCAGAAGTTTGTGAGACACTGGAAGGGATCAGAAACAGTTGGCCTGTGCCATTAGCGAAGAGCTCATGTTATTTGGAGCTGTAAAACTGAAGGAGGTGAGGGTGCATTTAGAAGATCTGTCATTGCTTGTCTGGCCTACTGAAGGAATTGCCCTGCTGGTGTCCCAGGTGAGACAGGGGAAACAGCCTGTAATCTACTGCAGTTTATTTATGAAATGACAAGATTACAGCTTTCACCCTACTTGATTTTTTCATGTACTGGCTCGCTCACCCCTCAGAATTACATTCTCCAGAATTCTCTAGATGTCAACTTCTTTTCCCAGTTGAGAGTTTGCAGTTTGTCCAGGAGGGTTAGGCAAAAGCTTGTCTGGGTTTATATTGTACAGTTGAAGTTATCAGTCTCGGGTACTACCAACCAAGGTCCTTGGGCATGCCCTGACATTTGTCTCCATGTCTCTGATCTCCAGGATCTTTCCCCACTTCCAGCATCTTTCTTCCAGTCATGATCTTTGCCATCTTCTCTCCTGGCTCCTTTTTCTGTCCTCTGAGATCATGTCTTCTTGTTAGGGACCCTTATTTTTAGCCTTCTCTTCTTTCCAGAACCCTAAACTCTGGTTTCCCATTCTCAATAATGCGTGTGCAGAAGGACAGCACATGATCAGACTCCCCGTTTGTGGTTCTGTCTCATGTCTCTTTATTAATTGGAGGATTTAAGGTGTGCCACTTTTGTTTGTCCAAGTGTTATCAAAATATGCAACCAGCCCATTCCTTGTGCAACCATCAGGTAACAGGCTTTTGCTTGAGATAGCAAAAGTTTGATTTTGGATGTTCATCTGCACGCTTACCTACACCCAATTATCTACTGCCTGTTAGTAATCGCAATTGAAGTTATTTTTTCCACATATGATGATATCTTGGTTATGATATCTGCATGAGATGTTGGGTCAACTGCAAGCAAGTTTCAACCCATGAACTTCTGGGGCACGTGTCCTGGCTGTTGGCCAGCCTAACTGGATTCTAGTAGGATAATGCTGTTTGCAGGAATGTTTTGGAAAGGGGATTTTTGAAGGTAACTTGGTGACAGAATATTCTATTAAATCCTGCCCTACCAGTTTTTTGAAAACTGAGCAGACACCCATTTGACAGCTCTACCAGGAGTACTGAACTGAGATACCTTGCCTGTCACTGCAAATGTTGGCTCGGGTGATACAAATTACTGCTCTGGGCTTAGTTGTGAGGTATTTTGCCACCTTCCCTGTCCCAGCACTTGTTCCAAAAAGATGTCACCGATTTTGTTACTTCCTTCACCCTCTAAAGTCCAGTTACCCAAAGATTTTGGCTTGTCTGTGTGTGGCCTGGCTACTTGAGAACTTCTTACAAAGAAATATTGCACCATACACAGCCAGTACAGAGGCTGAGAAACCTGAAGAGGGGTGGAGGAACCTACAGTTCCATAGAGATTTGTGTGGCCCTTATGCTTTCTATTCTCTTTGCAACTCATTTTTTCCTCTCTGTATTTACAGGCAGCTGACTCCAGGGATTCCCTCTCTATGGCACTCTATTCCCAGTGTTTTTCATGGCTCATTAGCAAGATTAATACAAAGATCAAAGGAAAGGAAAACTTTAAGTCTGTGGGCATCCTGGATATCTTTGGCTTCGAGAACTTTCAGGTCAGGATTTTGTTTTTTCTGGGGTGGGTTGGTTTTGGAGATGTTGATGCATATTGGAAGAAGCTTTGGTGGGTTTGCATCCTGATAAGGATAGCATATGGCATTGTGGAATCTCTACTCTGCCACTTTTCCCTGAAAGCAGAAAGATACATTTAGGTGCCTATTTCTGCCAGCCACATTCATATAGGCTGATGTTCAAGGTCTGGTTTGTGATACAGACCCTAAGCAGATCTGCTGTGATAGATAATACTGAATTGTTGATTTGTAAGAGAACCAAATATCTAAATCCTACATGTACACTGTTTGCTTACATCTGTTTTGCATTGTGTGGAGGATCCTGCATGTAATGCTTCTAACCACAGCCGATGTGGGATGTAGGTTCAACAGTCATAGAGTGACTGCTCAGATATTTCACAGAAGAGAAAGCCTGGTGACTTAACAGTTCGGGAATTTATTTCTTTCTTCAAAGAAGAGAAACATAATTGTCTTTAGCATGGTTTACTCTGAGTTAGGTTTACTGAATTAACCTTGCATGGGGAACAAAAGCTGTTCTCCTAGTGGACTTCTACATACTGTCATCCTCATATCCACCTGACACCACTATGTTCTCTGGCTTTACTCCGAGTCTGGCACCTTCTCTGTTGCTGGTATAGATTCTTGTAGAGCTCAGGAACAGGAATGTAAAATTTTACATTTTTTTCTTGTTGCAGGTGAATCGTTTTGAGCAGTTTAACATTAACTATGCAAATGAGAAACTCCAGGAATATTTCAACAAACACATCTTCTCCTTGGAGCAGCTGGAGTACAACAGGTGACAGTGGAAGTGGGGCCCCACTGCCTTCATGGGTAGTAGGATGGAGGACATCATTCCTCCTGTGCTGCTCAGTCCCTACCACTGAAGAGGAGAGACAGCTGGGCCTTAGTACAACCCTGACCGTGGATGTCTTGTTGAGCATTGTCCTTGTGCTTTGCCAGCATAAGTCACTCATCTCCAGGAAAAAGCATCCTCCATAGTGTTTAGAAACTCCAGATTTCCTTCTGTCTCACAGCTGAATAGAAAGTTCCTAAAAATAGGAATATTCTATATTCTATAGAATATAATAGGAAAATTCCCTAAAGATAGACAATTAGAGATATCTGACAGGTCTTTTTGTCCTAGAGATTCCTATACTGTGAAAAGGACTCTTTTACTCAGCAAGATTTTCATCTGTTTCCTGAGCTTGGGGCCTTCTGCACAGCTTCTTCCTCTTCTGTGGGCTTCATATTGGATTGTATTTTGTGAAGTACCTGTGGTGTTCTAGAGTATTTCTGCTTCTAGAGAAGGCTGATACACAAATACTTCAGTTGTTGCTCTGAAACAGAAGCCTTTATGTTTGTGAATGAAGGAATTGAATAGGGTCAGTGAGGGCAAATGAGAGCAGCCTTGTAAAGAGAGACAGTTGAATAGGCAATTCATTAAATTCTAAAGATTACAAAATTGCAAGGCTATTTATGTGCTCACTTCTCAGGCCAGTTCCACCATTGCAGGAATCTTGTATTAAAAATGGTACCATCATGACAAATAATTCTTTCCTGATGGTTGCATAGAAGTTTAAGTTCTGTGGCTGAGCTTAGGAAGTAATGAGAGGATTTTTTTATTGATGACATATCAAATTATTCTAAGGCAATGTACTCAAAGCTCATATTGCACCATATAAACTCTGCTTCCTCAGGCTTAGTAAGTAGATTCATGTATCTCATCTTGATGCTCGATGCTTTGAACCTTAAAGTATGAGGCCTGGGCTGAAGCATTCAGAGGCAACAACTCCACTATCTTCAAAATTCTAGTCTCCACCTGAAAGGTGTCTGTGTCAGAATGTCAGTAAGTAGCTTCACACATAGCCTCTAGTCTTCCTTGTATCCTTAAGACTTATTTTAGACTTCTCTGAATTATGAAAGCAGACATATCCTGTATTATGGGAGTATAAGAAGATGGTAAGGGGGAAAAACACATTCAGCAGATTTACAGAATGTCATGGGTGATTTTCAAAGCACATTACTGCTTACATCAGCTCCTATTTTGAAAGATGCAGGGCCACCCTGTAGGCTCCCTGCATGTCAGGCCGAAGCTTATCTGTGTCATCCTCTTCAAAACTCTCCTTGAAAACTCTTTCCAGTCTCTTCTCCTGGTGGACCTGTGAGCTGTGGTTCAGTCTCCTGGCAGATGTGTTTCAGGCCTGCTTTCCAGATTGGTGGGTCAGCAGCTGACTCTTGAAGTTGGATAGCAAGCTGTCCATCATGTGGACACTGTGTGGACAGATGCTCATCACTCCAGAAAGAGGACAGTCTTAAAATTCATGTGAAATTTGCTCAATGACTATAAGAAAAGCATCAGCCTGAGTCACCAGTATGGATAAGAAAGGCTGTTTCTTATTTCCATCTCCTTGTGTTAACAGTGCATTGTGTCCCCTATTCCTTTTCCTCAGCCATGGCAAAGCCTAATTCCTGCAAATCACCTTGAGTCCTGGGATAGCTGCCAGGCTCAGTTACTTCTGCTCTCCTACATCCCAGGACATAAGATCTTGCATTTCACAACTTTGTTCTCTTTGTTCTTGACTGTCAGGGAAGGGATAAACTGGGAGGCCATTGACTGGATGGATAATGCAGAGTGCCTGGACCTTATTGAGAAGGTAAGCAGTGACAGTTCCTAGGGATCAGTGGGGGCTGCTGATTGTCTTGAGATCTTCCCTGGCATTTCCTGGTTTTAAAAACAGATTGTTGCTTAGATCCTCTTCCCATAATGACCTGGCAAAAGTATGAGCTGTTCTATCCATTGTCCTGGCTCAAGAAAGCAGATCCTGCCTTATTGTTGACAGTAAGCTTAGGAAAGGTGTCATTGTTTTAGACAGGGATTAGCATTCAAGTAAAACCTTAATGTGATTTTTTAATAAATAATCTCCACTTATGTTCTGCTTGCTGAATGCAACAACTGTCCAGAATTCTGCTTTCAGTTTGAGTTTTGCTGGGTATAACTCAAGGGTTATTGCTCAATGGTCTGTTCAGATCTCCACTTCTTGGCTTGGTGCTGTGTAGTTAAAGCTTTTGCTGACTGTAAAAGCCTGTCTCTTGTTTGGCTGTAGAAACTAGGTCTACTGGCTTTGGTGAATGAAGAGAGTCGATTCCCCAAAGGCACAGACAACACCCTTCTGGAAAAACTTCACAGCCAGCATATGGTAAGTAAGAAAATAACCTGGCAGGCAAATGATCAGTATGTTAGCCCATCAGCACTTCAAAACCTAAAGTGAAGGTTTTGTTGATGTAAAATATGTGCTTTGTGCAGGAAATTTAAAATGCCTTAGGCCCGAACCTGCGAGTGTTTAATAAGGCTGCACTGAACAACAGTAATATGTAAAGCAACCTGAGAATGGTCTCCTGTGCACATAGAGAAGAGGGAGTGTGCATTCCACAGGCTGTGGGCAGAGGAGGTTTAAATTTGCAGCAAATTGCAAATGGGATGGAGTCAGGTTCTGCTGGTCTGCGACGGGACACGAGGCAGCACCCCAGGCACAGGATGTGGCTGCACAGTGTGTGGGTTTCTCCTGCCAGCTGACTCACAGCAGTCTGCTCCAGAGCATGTCAAATCTGTCTCCTGGGGCTGGGGACGGCTTTTGCCTCATGACTTTTAATGAAAGCTCTCTTATTGTTCCTAATTAATTAAATTCTTTCATCGTCTTTCTTGTGTTCTGGACACAGTAGTGGAACAGCTTTTTCACGCAGGTCAGAAAGCTATCCTAGGGACACAGAAACCCCACTGAGATCACTGTAGCAATCCCTTACCGTGTCTCTGCTACAGCCAACACTTTGTTCTAAATAGTAAATAGACTGAAAACAAAGCAAATTAAAGCCTGTAGCATGGATTTATGGAATAATTGACTACTTTAGTAAGACCATTGTCAGCAAATACGTTTTCTAGTCTGCTAATTCAGGCTTCAACTAAGCCTGAAAACATACAGATCTGTATCCTTTATCTGATTTTTTTTTAATTGGCATAGATGCAGATATTCTCATTTTTCATATTTGCATTGTAACTCTGCTAGTAATACTAATGACTTCAAATTAGAAGCAATAGCAGTGACTCTTGGTTGACTACTTATAGCTTTGAGCAAATGTTTACTTTCTTTAGGCTTAAATCAAGGCCTTCATTTTACTCCTCTGTGGCTTTGCCTTATAGGTCAAGAAATGTGAGAATGCCTGATTTACCTTCTTTTTTCTAAATTGTTGCTGGTATTTCTTAATATAGAACTAATGAATATTTTTAATGTATTACTTGTTATGAATTTTCTTTCTCAACTGTCCCAAACTCTTCAGTTTGTCTCCAAATGGAGACATTTCAAAGCTCCTCTTTCTTTCTGCTGTTCATTTCTGAATTTGTCTACATATTTTTTTTCTCTATTCTTTTCTGAGATAAATAATCAGACCAGAATGCAGTTCCCTTGGTAAGAAGGTACCTGTGGTTTATTGTACAGCAGCATGAGACTGCCAGTATTATTTTGCATTCCTTTATGCCCCACTACATTTTGGTTGCTATTTTTGGTGATTTCTGTGCATTGATTAGCCTTTTCATTAAGCTGTTCATAGTGTCACCTCTGTCTGCTTTGGGGCAATAGCAGTTCACAAGAACTCTAGGAAGCTTGCAAGAGATGAAGAGGCTTGGAAGAGGCTGAGTTATAAGTGCAGGGAGGAACAGTGAAGAGTGCTCTAGGATTTGCATTTGCTGAAGGCAAAAGCATTTTTTATACCAGTTAAAGTCTCTAGTGCTGGCTGGAAGAGCATTGGAAGACGTCCAGCCAGCATTACTGGGAAGCCTGACGAGAACAAGCCCTCTTCTCTGTATTTTCTGTGGAATGCTGTAGTCTTAAGGAGGAAAAGCGTAAGGCTGGGATTTAAGAGAATATAACCTCTGAAACAACTGGAGAGAGGAGCAATAGGGAAGATAGCAGAAGGAACCAAAAGTGTTGTAAGCATGGGTGAAATATAAGGGCTTGGCAGAGAGGGAGAGAACAGGATGCCAATCCACATGAGAGATCCAGTAGCAGTCATGTTTGGAGTGGAAGACAGGGAAGTTTGTGGTTGGAAAAAGATGACTCTATGGGGTGAAGTGAAGAGCAATGAAATGGGATCAGTGTGAAAAGAAAAAAAACATGAAAAAATTGTCAGTAGCACTAACAAATTATCAGCATCAGAAGCTGTCCGCCTGCTTCTAAAGAAGCTAAAAGATCTTCTTTTAGAAGATCATCTTCAAAAGATGAAAGAGCTGAATTACAAATAGCATCATGCAACATCTTACTTAAAATTCTCTTAGTACTTTTGTCTGAGAAGGTGGAGGATTGTATTAGTTTTTAGAAAGTGTTGTAGGAAACTATAGGCCTATAGTTCTGATTTCACAATTGTGTAAATTCACAGAATATAAATGGTCAGTTACCTCAGTGACAGGAGGCCTGTAAGACACTGTCTCCTACAAGCACTGAGGTTTTCTGCTGACTCACAGGGCAAGGCTAATCTGAGAAGGGCCTCACGGGACTGAGTGTTTTGTAAAGTGAAAATGAAAATGAAAAGCAGTGTAGATAAATGTAAAATGCTGTGCCTGAAGGAAAAGAGTTCCAATTTCACCTTTGAAATGATGGCCCCTGAACTGACTGCTGCTCTTCAGGAGTGACACCCAGACAGGCTGTGGTAGAGTTCCATGGAAATACCAGCACAAGGCTCAGCAGTAATAAAAAATTAAAAAATCCCCCAAAGAAGTAGTAAAAGCTCCCAGGAAACTAGCAGTGAAAGTAGAAAACATTGTTATGGCATTGTATGGTCTGTAGATCACCTTCACTTTGAACTACACCCCCAGGGCCCCTCCAGTCAAGGAGGGCTTCTGTCAGAACTGGTGAACAGCAGGTCTGGAACAGCTTCAGTGCTACAGAAAACTGCTGAAGGGACCTGCAGTGTGGAGACGAGATGACTGGAGTGTGGGTGTGATGGGTTTAAAAGTTACACATGGCCTGTAGGAGATCAATGGCACTAATGGAAGCCAGGCTTAAATCCAAGCAGCTCTAGTTCCCTGTGTAGTTGGTTGAAAGCTCCCTGTGAAAGGACACTCCAGGTGCAAGAAGTCTGCATGGGTTCACTTGTGGAATGAGCAAGTGTTTCAAAGAGAAATCCATTTGGGGTTCCTAGTTAGTCAGGCCTCATAGAAATAATTAGAGTTTGAGGGAATATGAGGAAGAAAGTATGATTTACTAGTTTTGTTTGTACTCTACCCTACATAGCCAGTGCTAGAGGCAGAATACTTAGCTGGACTGATCATTGGTCTAGAGTAGCATGGCTGCTCTTAAATAGTTAAAACGGTTTTCACAGACCAGAAAAAGGAGTGGGAAAATGAGAGAGGAAAAAGAGAAAGGAAAACTGAATATTGAATGTAAGGGAAGAGAGGTGCAAGGAAAGATAAAATTTAGAGGAAGACAGGAAATTGGTATGTTATTTCCTTTGATGAAGAAAAGGTGTGGAGGTGTTATGCAAAGCTGCCATCTTCCCTGCATCCTGATCCTGTGTCCTGCACCACATGGTTTGTGTGGAGCTCAGTCTCCTCAGGTGTCAGACACACAAGAATTAACATTTCATCCATGGCATGTGTCTGCAGCCTTGATTCTGCAAGCCCTTGCTCACATGAGAAATGCCTTGAAGGGCTGGATATTTCCATCTTAAATTTGAGTAACATGTTTGTAATGTAGCTGCAGATAGCTACAGCAGATGTGGTCGGGCTCTGCAAGAGCAAAGGTCCTTGCCCATCCCAGCCTTGTCATAGTCATGGCAGAATTCCTGACTATTTATTCTTATACCAGCATTATGAGACAACTTCTTTTCCTTTCATTTCAGAGCAACCCCTACTATGTGAAGCCTCGGGTGACAGACCATCAGTTTGGAATAAGACATTATGCAGGGGAGGTAGGTGTTCATGATGTGTTTGTGAGACGCGTGGTGTGTTCTGGACTTGAGGTCCTCAATTCTAGATTCCAAAAAGCAAGAATATCTCTGAGCTGTGTGTTTCCACACAGTTAATGTCTTGTACCAGAGCACAAGGAGTGTAATGGACTTAAAATAGCATGTCACTCTTCAGTACTATATTCTCCAACTTGGATGTTTGAGTTTCTCAGGTAGCTTTTTGTTTGGGGGATAAACTCCTTACTTCTGTTATTCATGTTGTCTTCTCTTGGACGTTTACAAACAAACAAAACTCAAAGGAAAAGTCACAAGGAAAATTTTACTTCTGAGGAGGAGGAAAGGCTGAGTACCTGCTGCAAAAAGGAAAAGGTTCCCAAGACTTCAAGGTTAAATATTGCTCTTTGTTGTGAAGAGATATGAAGCAGATGAAGGTGTGTCAAGGGAGGACACCCACACATTAAAGAGGGGCTGACCTCCTCCCAGAATAACCTGCTGAGCACTTGTGGTTGGGAAGCTGGGGCACTGGGTGGCCATTCTCTTCACTCTCCTGAAGTGAATGGAGTACCTCACACCTTGTAGAGAATTCACCCACAGACCCTCTCCTGCCAGGCAAATCTTGCAGCTGTTTCACTTGGCTCTTGTTTTTGAGGGGTTTTTTGGGTGTTCTTTAATTGATGGCTAAAAGCCACTTTCTTGCCAGTAACTGCAGAAGTCTGTAGCTCTTTGACCCCAGAAATTCAGATCTTGGCACATGCCTGCAGTGTTACTGTGTAGCTCTGCTGGAGACCTTGTACATTGGCATGTAAATGTGGAAGGACTTAATGATTTGTAGGGCACTGCTCTAGTGTCTGTGTCTGTGTTGCAGGTGCTGTATGATGTGAGAGGCTTTCTGGAGAAGAACAGAGACACCTTTCGTGATGACATTTTAAACATGCTGAAAGACAGCAGGTATGCTTGTCAGGAGGCCACATTTGTTGGGTGGAACTAAGCCACATTCATGTAATAAACCAGACCAAGGAAAACAGTTGCTTTTGCCAGAGCATGAGGCATTATTCTTAATCATTATTCTCTTTGTGCTGAAGTGTCCTGATAGAAGAAGGGAGAGCTGGAGAAGTCAGATGAGGCACAGATTTAATCAGGACTCATGTTGTCCCAGTTTTAAAAAGGGCTTTAACAGCGTGACAGACATCCCTCCAGGCAATTTGTTTTTTTCCTTCTCCCTTCTCGCTTTCCTTCTTCCTCTTACCTCCCTATACCAACAATGGCAAAGTTTGCCCTGAATGAATCAATGCTCTTTGCCATGCTGTCAGTTGCCAGCCTTTGTAGAGAGGCTGCTTGTTTTCCAGCCTGCTTGTTTGTGGAAATCATCTGTCCTTATCCTGAGCCAGACTGAGCTGTTGCTGTGGGACTGGCCATGGACCCTGATGTTATATCCCAGAGCAACATGACCTTAGAGAAAAGAGCCAATTTTGATCTTGAGCAAGATCTGGGAAACAGAAGTGGGGCCTAGTGGGAGGGAGGCATTTAATAACACAGAGGAACCTACAAGTCCTTGAGCAGCAACTCTACCATGTGCTTCTTACCACAGTCCATGTATTGCCTTTGGGCTCCAGCCTGATGAGCCTGTTTCAGAACTGCATCTTCTCTGAAGCTGCTGCAGAGTGTGCACTGAGAAGCTTTGAAACAACCTGAGGGATCTGAGACTATGAGCTCTCATACTTGTCTTACTTGGACAGTGGCATCTGGGGAACATTTTACATGAGGCTTGAGGCCAGAATTGTGGTTGTTATTGTCCAGCATAATAGAAGGACTCGGGCTTTTTCAGCATGCCAGAAGGGAAGTTGGGCCAGAAGCAGGCATAACAATAAACTGGCACAAGCAGCTCTGAAGAACTTTGTAGGAATCAGCACCAATGTCTCAAGAGTGGCAAAATGGTGGAAGATTCCCTAGAGCTGACCTACATGGAGGGTAGGTCTAGAACTCCTCAGGCCACAGAAGAGCTGGGCTTCCAATTTAGTGATCACGGCATGGGGGCTAATCATGAGAGCTAGTTTGCGAGGTATGACAGCACCAGTCCACCTGGCATACCTTCAGGGTAATTTTGCCTGGGGGCATGTGCTTGCTCAAGGGATGTGTGCCTTGAGCATTCCCTGCTTTCTCAAGGAAGGTGTCCTAGCCAGTGCAGAATGGATGTTTTCCTTTGTGTAATATCCTGCTTGAAAGTGTGAGATGGGGCTTCTGGCTTTGCAGCTGAGTGTGGCATACAGGAGAGCCCATGGGATCTGGGCAGCCACATGGGGAAGTGCCCAGCTGAACTGCTTCCTGCAGCCACTCTGGCACAGCAGGTGTAAAAAGGAGGTGTTTCACAATGGGACAGGGCAGTATCTGACAATAAGAACCATCTTCTCACAGGTGGTGTCTTGCATCTTCTGTAATTTTTTTCCTCTCCCTTAGGCTGGACTTCATCTATGACCTTTTTGAAAAAGTCTGCAGTCGTTGCAGTGAAGAGACACTGAAGATGGGCACCCAGAGGCGCAGACCGACTGTCAGTTCCCAGTTCAGGGTATGATGTTTTCCAAGAGAGCAGCAGACTTCTGGGGAGGAGCAGATGGGCAAAGCAAGGCCTGCAGCCAAGAGGAGTCATTATCCTTGTTTTGTGTCCAGCACTGAAAATGTGCAGGAATGTTGCAGTGCTAAAAAAAGACAGTGCCACTGCCCCAAGGATTTCTGTCTGGTATAAAATGTGAGATGATAAGACTGAGCAGGGTGGCAGAGGAAAAGAGTACTTTGCTAAGGATATGAAGTTCTTGAGGTTCTTTGATCTTTCATATTGGTTTGGTGTTTTAGCTAAGTGTATGTGTCCTTTTAGGCCACATTTTTAAAGGTATAGTGATAATTCCAATAAAACCTTATTAGGAGGACCTTGCAAGTATTAATCTCATACACTTAGATTGTCTGCAGACCTTCATTTCACTGTTTTGTTTTCCTGTATTAAAAGTTGGAGAGACTTGTAAAATTAACTCACAAAGCTATACAGCTCCAAGAATTAGGATGGCCATATAAATAGTCTTAAAAGCAAACTGTGTGGATATGTTCTGCAGGGGAAGGAATCTCGTGGGTTATTGAAATTTTGGTAGGCAAAGGACATTAGGAATAGGAGGACTGCATGAAGACCTTATTGCATCAAATGTAGCTCCTTTCCCTTCTGTCATGACTGATCCTTTGGGTCTCTCTTGCTGGTCTTTAGGATTCTCTCCATTCCCTGATGGCCACACTTAGTACTTCCAACCCATTTTTCATCCGCTGCATCAAACCAAATACAGAAAAGGTAAGTCTGTGTCCCAGCCATAAGTGGGCATGTGACACAGGCCTGAATGTGCATGCCCTTGCATAATGCCTAGCAGGTGCCTCAAACTGAGGCTAAGAACAGTTCTCCCCACCTTCCCTTTTTCATTCTAGTTATTTTAGAGTTGAGAAAAAACACACCCTCCTCCTGGTAATCAGATGGAAAGACTGCATGCTGAATATGAGATTATATAGCCATTCCCATTTCTTTCAGTGCTTATGAAACCTGGAGGACTACCCAGGCTTGTGCAGAGTCCAGAGCTGTGTTAGAAGAAGCAGTCCCTCCTGCTCATAGTGCCTGTAGAGAAATCTGTTCTGGAATGAAAGGCTTGTGCAGCAGGCACCGTCTCCTGCAGATCCCTGGCTCTGAGGCAGTGGAGGGGACACATCATGATGAAGCCACAGTGCTTAGGGACAGGCTGGCTCTCTCTTGTACTGTGAGCTGTGGCAAGAGGAGATGCTGCTAACTAGATTGGGTGGGGAGCTCTGAACTGATCCTTTTCTTTGTGTGCTTTGAAACCATGAATGATGTGGCAGAGAACAGGCTGCTTAGGGGATTTATGCCAGAAAAGAATTCTGTAGTTTGTCTCCAGTTTAACTGAAAAGAGAGACTGCAAAGAGAACTGAGTGAGGGTTCTGTATGTGTTAAGACATTGTATCTTTGCTTTCATAGTCCAACTGTGAGTACACTCTTCAAACTCTTTTTTTTCCCTTCCAGAATCAGCCCAGTTCCCTTTTGTCCCTTATTCTTCACCATGCAGTGTTGTGAGGTTGCTTTCCCTTTGATCCAAGCTTCCCCCTTTTTACCTGGCATGCCCAAATATGCAGGATTGGCTTTCTACAGTGAAACATATACAGCCTGTGACTGCCTCACTTGTTTGGTTTTGATTCTGGATCATTATTTAGGCGCCGAACCTGTTTAATCCAGCTGTGGTGCTAAATCAGCTCCGGTACTCGGGGATGCTGGAGACGGTGAAAGTTCGAAGAGCAGGTTTCCCTGTACGGCGCCTTTTCCAGGACTTTCTCAGCAGGTAATTGCTGTCCTTGTATTGTATGCTGGAACAGCCCCCGAGTATAGAATTCTATAAGACTGTTCCCTCTTTAACTGCTTCTGGTATTGATCATCTGTGAGATGTTTTTGTAGCCATGGCCTTCATGCTCATATCATAAACTGATGTGGGGGGCCTTTTGGAGGCTTGCCCTAAGGCTAAAAGTCATAATGGAAAAATAGCCAGATGGTCTTTGGTCTTTCTTTGTCTTTTTTTTTTCTTGGTAGCTTTGCCACAGATTTGCTAGTGTGATGCTGTGAAACCCAGCTGGTCATAATATGTAAAAGGAAAATACCATGCTTTAAACCTTTAGGCGGCAGAAGAAAATTCTAATGGACAGTATAGTTGATGATTAATATTGGAAGGAGTGATTATTTCTTTTAATGAGCTACATCAAAAGGATTTTTTGAAGTTTAAGGCTAGAAGGGACACTGAACATTGCTTCTTTTGTCTCTTGGAGCACTAAATGCCACCCCTATACAGAACAAAATAACTTGTGTCTGATGAAAGCACATGTTTCAAAAAGACAGTTGTTCTTTACTGAAAAATTCTGTTGAGTTTGTATTCTTTTACTGGGATTGCAACAATAATTGCCAGTGTGGTAGGAACAGATAAGGTTGGGGGATGGAAATTTCCAAATTGGAAGGCAAACATGAAGAAAGAAGGTCCCAGTGGAAGAAGGACTAATGGGATAAGGATAATTAGAGTTAAAAGATTGGGAAGAGAGAGGGAGGGGGCAGTTACTGTCATCCATAATCTGATGAGATTCTGTTTTGTTCTTAGGTACAAGATGCTTGTGAAGGAGCCAGGCCTGTCAGACAACAGCAAAGCTGTATGTGCAGGTTTTCTTCAGACCTATGACAGCAGCAAGAAAGAGTGGCAGCTGGGTAAAACCAAGGTACTTCATCAGTGTGGGGAAGGGTATGGCTTCGCTCCAGCTGCAAGGGGGAGTGATTGCATCTGGTCAGATTGCAAGGTGCTGCAGTCATGATCCTTTTAATACACTGGCCTCTGCTACTGACCTGCAGCATCTCAAATATTTCCCATATTACGTACCTAGTGACATAGCAGGGTTTTTTTGACTTTATCTAAACTCCTAATTGACCAAGCTGGATTGATTTTGTTGTGTCTGATCCAATTTAAAGATTCAAGGGGAATAAGCATGGGTCTCATTTTATGTAATTGTAATGTGTGCCATTAACTCTTGCGTCTTGTGCCAGATATTTCACTCTGCTTGACTAACTGAAACTCTTGCCTGAGGCAGTGAGCTGAATCTTGGTATATATCTAAGCTGTGAATAGCTGCATCACCAGATGTATGACAGCTTTCTGTTGGGGAAGCTCAGATGATGCTTTTGCAGCTAGCCCAGATGCTAGCATACATTTTCTATGCAGAGGTATCCAAATGCTTCTGCCCACTTGCGTAATTCAGATCTTGCTTCTGTTTTGGTGAATGTTCAACACTTCTCTCTTGCCTGGAATAGTCTGCATTTTCATGGAGAAATAGATGTGAGCGTTTTGAGGTATATTGCTGTAGAAATCTGGGAGTGTGAAGCTGTCTCTATCACAACTTTCCACATACTCCAGTAAATTCATCAAAGAATATTCCAAGATGGGTGGTGTCCAATGCAGACAGCATTTCTCAATAGTGGATATGCAGTCCATATCTAAAGCAGATGGTAGTACATCAAAGCAACTTCTTGCATTTTTTTGCCCTTAAGCCTTCAGAAAAGTACTTCAGAATATTTCCAGTGCCACAATGAAACCAGAAGTGATTCTAGTGAACATGCACAATTAATTTGTCCAGGAGATCAGATAATGACATTTGTTGCTTGGAGCAATTATTTCTCAATAAATGGATAGACTATAATACTTATTAAAGCAAGATCTCTCTCTCCTCTTCCTAGAGGGCTGATGGTAGTCCACTTGGTAATCTGGGCTATGAGCTCTGTGTGACAATCAAGAAAACCACTGGCCATTGCTGTGGGAAGGATGTGCATTAATCTGGAGTTTGGTTGTTTGCTTTTTTTTTCCCCATGCCTCCACTCATGTTCCAGAAAGAAAATTTAATCACTTAGCTGTACTTCTGCTCTGTGATTAAAGTGTTCCCCATCTTTGATTTTGGAATCTGGCATCTCCTCACTGGTGCCAGCAAACCAGGAACCATTTTGGTCATTCCTGTCCCTGGATAATCCACATTGCTGGAGTGACTGCCAGTGTCCCAGCATTTTAGTGTGAAAAGCCTATGTGGAGAGCATGTGTGTTGCAGAGCTGTCTGGAAAGCTTTAGAAAATGGTGTTTAGAGCTGGTAAACATAGAGTTTGAACTTTCTTCCTAGCATGACAAGAGATTGAAGGGCAGCAGGATGGAGGACCAAACTCACATGCAAGTACTCACCTTTTAGAGCACAAAAGATTATAAGCTATACAGCTGGAGTCCAGAGCCTACAGTAAACTAACAACAAGCAGGAAATCCAGGCTGCTTTGAGCCCCTGGGAGCTATAGGTCCCTTTTCTCTTCAGCCCCATTGTGCATCATGAAGGACTGAGTCCATCTGTCTGTTCTCACTCACTCCTTGACCTGCACAAATTATTCGGAAAAAAAAATAATATGGGCGGTAATTGTGGCAAAGAAAATGTGCTTGTGTTTTGTCAAAACTCTGGATCTACTCTAATGTAATTATTTTTTAATGACTGTGTCTGTAAACTAAAACTTGACTGAATAGCTGTATGTGGCATATTAGTAAACTGCAATCTTTCTGCTTGGGCACTGGTTGCTGTCATTCTGAGTATTGTGAAAGGAAACAAATTGTTAAGATAGGCAGTTTTGTATTCTTTATGCCTGAGAAGGAAAATTCACTGGAGCTGGGAAGCAATTGAGCCATCTTCTTCAGTTGTAGAAGTTACTTTCTGTTGGGCATGGTTTGTATTAGAGATGTGTGTCCTGGTAAAGGGGAGCAGTTCTATTTATTGAAAGAATGGATCAGTCCAAGGCTGTTCTGGCATGTTCCACACTTGCTGCCATGCTGAATGGCTGGCCAGCCCCGGGCTGCTCCAAGGTGCTTTCATTCCAAGGTGTATTACCCTGCCATTTCATTCTTCAGATGAGTTACTTGGCATTCTTTCCCTCCCTTGGAGACCACTTTGCAACTCAGCTTTGTGACAGTGCCTCCAGAAAGCCTGTCCCTAGGAAAGCAGATGCCAAGGTGAGGCCTTGCAGAGCAGTGGTGCTTCCTGGTACTACCTTCCCTGCTGTTGTGCCTTGCATTACAGACTGCTTTGTCTGCATTCGTGTTTCAGCTGGTGCTAGGGAACATAGGCTGGGAATACTTGAGTTGATGAAGAAAAGACCCTTAATTTTTCCAGAGTCTTTCAGGTAAAGGTGAAGTGAAGTTACCAGCCGAGGGGAACAGAGCATAGGTCATTGTCCTGAAAAGGAAGTCCCCTGCATGACCATACTGCCACTGTTGCTGCTCTGGGTGCAGTACTCAGGTTGGTATTCCCAGAACTAATCTTGGCTTAGTCAGGAGTAGCTACTGAAAGAGGTGTGACAAGGCCATGGGGATATAACCTAGGAAGAAGTATAAGGAGTGGGTGAAGAGCAAGGCGTATAGAAGGGGGAATACTTCCTGTAAAATGAATGGAAGGATAATTATATCCCTAGCAATTGTTTGAAAGAGGAAGGAAAAGACTCTGTGAATTAGTGCAGGGGATTGTGAAGCTTGGGAAAGGAAACGGAGGAGGAAGGGCAGGATGATCTTTGTGTTTTTCATTAAGAACAGAGCAGCTGCTGTGCTGGCAATTGTCAAATTAATGTTTGTAAGAGGTATTAATGTATGCAATGCAGGTTTTATCTGGTGGTATGGCAGAGCTGAGGGCTTGGATGCAAACAAGCAGTGTGATGATGAAAGAGATTGTGCTAAGGTGCCTTTGCCTTCACTGGGGATGTGCTGGGAGGGAGCAGCAGCTTCCATGACCCTTTCTTCAGGGCACCTGGGCCTGCTGCCATACTTGCCCATACCCAGAACACAGCTTTCCTACAGTAACCTTTCCTATTTGAAGGCATTAATTTCCACATTTCAACCTGCTGGTTTGCCTGTTTGAAGGAGGAGGTTGCTGTACACTGTTTGGCATCCAGGTCACAGCGACCCACTTCCTGCTTTCCCTCTGTTGTCCCCAAGAATCATATGATCCCCTTTATGTACACATGGATGCCCAAGCAGTTGGATTTGTGTCTGCTGATCTCTGTGAAACCTTAACATGTTCACTGTCACACCGATGGTGCATACAGGCTTTGAGGTTGTGGGAGGAACACTGTGGTGATGCACTGTGCTTTAAAGCCTGGCCAGTGTCTAGTGTGAGCAGAACATGATAGATGTAACCTTTTATGTTTTGTTCAATTGTTCTTTCCTCGGGTGAAAACAATCTCATGTTTTCAGAAAACGACTATGAATAATGACAAAGAAACAGCCACTTTCCAGTTTATTTCCACAAGGCATCAAAAATACTTCTGGACTTGAAATGCATGTTATTCTTCCTTGTCATCTAGTGGAATCTTAAAAAACCTCCAAGCCTTCAAAATGCCAGCAGTTTATAACTAGATATTGTTATGTTTTTTTTGAGATTAACCCCTCACTCAAGCATATATAGATTCTATAATCCTATAGGATTAGGGTTGGGTCTCATGGAACTGTGCATGCCCTGAAGTTTTCCCCCTCCCCCCCTTAACTGGCCTGGCTCAGCAAAGACTGCTTGCTAGGGAAATACTGATGGCCTGAGTATTTTTGCAATTTGATGAAGATAATGGACCGAGACAGTGTTTTGCTGGTTGCATTCTTGAAATGGGTGACTGCTGCTTGGTTCTGGAATGTAATGGAAAGAGCAATCCCTGCCTCAAAGAAATCTTTAAAAGATTGTTGAGTTGACAGAGGGAGTGGATGTACAACTTGCAGGGAAGGATGCCAGCTTCATGGTTGGCAGTACCTTGATAATGGAGCTTCTTTTTCAGGCTACCCATGGTTACTTAGTCATTACAAAACAGCTCATTTCTTAATGGAAACTGCTCCCCAGGAGAAATGCAAGTCCAGGAAAGCCACTGGCTATAGGTACTAATTCAGGGAGAGGTGTCAGTTCACAATGGTCATTGCAGAGGGAAGGAAGAGCCTTAAGGGATGAGGCCGAAAGCAGTGATGGAAGGTATACAGAGACATAAAGGGCAGATGAGTGGAAAAGAGGGGAGTTTGTGCAGATCACTGGACTAAATGACTGTTCAAATCTCTGGCCTCTCAGCACAACCACATGGATCCAGGACATTTGTAAGGAGTTTCTACTGGTTAATGTGGTTTTGAGTTCTGCAGATTGATGAATATCAGTTCACATGCTGTGTACATGACAGTGCTTTAACAAGTGGGGCTGCACTTCCCTAGCATAGCCTGTTCTGCTGCTGGCCCTGGAAGGGATTTATCCAATGCCAGGCAGCAGGTCACACGAGCACGGCCATATGGCACTTGCTGCTGTGACTGCAGCTTGTATGGACATACCCTACCAGCTTATTCTAGTCTGGGTACTGCTACTGCTAGCAGTGTACCCACAGCACCGTGGAGCTCCCTGCAGGCTGCAGTCCATCTCAAAATGCAGTACATTTATTTCAGGAATTTGTGCTGAATCCTGTGCTAACCTAATGCGAGCCAGCTTATTTAACATTGCTTAGATATGTCAACACAATTCCTGTAAACACGGCCTTATCTTGCTTGTATCTCAGTTCTTTTGTCTTTAACATAGCACCTGCATTCTTCATAAGCGTTTAGCACCGAGCACAAATTGTAACTACAGGTAGTGAAAGATGCTTGAGAATTAAAATACTGGACACTGACGTGCAACCACTAATACTATCGTCAGAGCTCAGTTGCCTCTAGTGCATGCTCCACTTCCTGCACCTTTGGCACCTGTTCAGCACAGAAGCATCTCACCCCAGAGTTTCTGGATGTCTCTGGAGGGCTTCAGCACCGGTGGGCTCAGAGTACACGCAGCTTTGTGTCCCGACTGGGCTTTTGGCTTTCTGCCTGCCTTCCATTAAGATTCGTGTTAAGGTTACTTCCTGGAGTTTAGAAATCTAAAAGTTCCTCCCTTTCCTTGAAACGCGGAGGAGTTTCTTCGCAAAATATTTAATTGGCCAAGTAGATCCCAGTGCCTGCTGCAGGGAGGTACCGGATTGTGCCGGGAAAGCCGTCAGCTGGGAAAGAGTTAATCACAGGCGCAAACTTGGGCTCTCCTCCTCCCTCCTCTTTCCCTCCTTCCTCTGCTCCCTCCCTCTCTCTTTTAAGTCTTGACCACAGAGTGAGGGCGGCGGGGGTTGGGCCCGGAGTTTGGCTCCCGCCGCCGCACAAGTTTTCCCGGCGCTCGGCGTGCGGGCGCCGCGGGCAGCGCGGGGGCGGCAGCCCGGCCACCGAGCGCTCTCCGCGCCGCTCACCCGGGGATGAAACCGCCCGGCTCTCCCGGGGACTGACTTCTTTCCTCTCTTTGTGTTTACTGAAACTCCTCCCCGTGGCGTCAGGTTTTCCTGAAGGAAGCTCTTGAGCAGAAGCTGGAGAAGGATCGGGAAGAGGAGTTGAGGAAAGCAGCTATAGTCATCCGGGCCCACGTCTTGGGCTACATGGCAAGGTCAGTGCTGGGGGATGCCCCACCATCCCTGTGCTTGCGTGCCTGGGTTGCCCCGACACCCTGCTTTGCTCACAAGTCCCCTAGCATCCGTCCCTTCTTCCCCTCCTGTATTCTAAGGGAGAGTTGCAGAATCTGCCCTCCCTGCCAGCATCAGCTCCGCTGAAACCTTCCTGCACCTTTGGCACCTCTTTTTCAGTTATGTGCACGTTTGCACCCTCCCTCAGCGCTGCTCAGCAGGCTTCCCGTGGACTTCTGTACCCATTGCTTGCCTCTGATGACACCTTTTCCTTGCCTTCAGGGCTCTCCTGGCTGGGCCCCACCTTTGCTTTGGGTCACCTCCTTTTCCTTGTGCCTGTCAACTCTGTTTTCTGCTCCCCCTGCAAATTGCTTCTTCCTCACTTGTGGTTCTGCCTTTGCTCACCCTCTTTCCTCGCCCTGCCTGTTTGCCTCGTGATCTCCCTCTCCTTTTAATTAACTCTTCAGAATTGGTTTTTGGCCAGCTCCTCAACAGTAATCTCCTCTTGCCTCTCCCTTTTGCACCTGACCAGGGAAGGTTTGGGAGAACCAACTGCAGACAGACCGCCCCTCCTCTGCCCCTCGAAGTCAGTGCAACAGCTGACTCCTTAATGGCTGTGGTATGCACACTTAATCCCAGTAAGATGCTCTTTCCTGGCTGGTCTTTGCTCCAGACACCTGTCAGTCAGGGTTGTGAGGAGGTGAAATCCCTGGCCAGCAGAGCTGTTTTAGCAGGCACTCTTCTTAGAGCTCCAGTTACACCAGGTAGCTCATTTTGCATTGGGGAAATGTGTGCAAAGGTTGTACCCTGCCTTGCCAGTGTGGAATATCAGCAGAATACACATTTGGTCTCTGGGGCCTTTATTCATTTATTTATTTCCCTCTAGGAAGACAAATGAGCTCTCTCTATTGTTTGGATGTGAGATTGCAAGTTCTTTGTGTCAGGGCCTCTGCTCTCTTTTACTTTGTGTCTAGCATTTGGAGAGAGGGGTAGAGATTAGCACAGGAAAATTGATTTGCTGGGAAACATCACTGCAGGCATACTGGATTACTGCTTTTCTGAGTTCTTGGTAAGGAAGCTGCTTCCCTGCAGGGCTGTGATGGAGACTGTGTGGCAGCAGTATTCCTCTTGGTTAGAAATCTTGTGGTCCTTCAGGCTCCACACTTCTGAATTCCTCATCCCACATGTTGCTGTTGTGAGTCTCATCCTTAAGGACAAGCTGCGCTTCTGCAGCCAGAGTGTAAATCTTCACAAGCAGCTGGAGGTAACTGGGCTTCACAGGGGAGGAGAGCATGGAGTAAAGAAGAGCTCGAAAGGGGGACTGTAAAACTTTCTGTGAAGAGAGTTTCCAGTTGCACTGCACCTGTATTGAAAAAAGTCCAGCAGTCAGGAGTTCATCTGGGCAAGTGCTGAATGGTCTGTGCAGAGTTGGGCAGGAATACCAGTATGTGCTGCCTTATGCTTGATACCATTTCTGTTAGTTTTGCAAGTATAAGTGTGTTTAAATTAATTTGGTCTCATGCAAAGTAGAGTGGCAAAGGAAGGTTTTTACTGGTTTCTCCCCTTTTGTGAACTTGTTCTGTGAGCCTGGAGAATCAGATTTTCTTCGCCCTCATTCCCTGCAGCCTAGTATCTCTGATCACTAGAATGTGAGACAAGAAAATCAAGCCCATTGAAATGGCCCCTTTCTTATATAGCTCATCTGTGGACCTCTGAGATGCAGGTAACAGCTTTACCAGCTAAAAACCACATAGTGCAGGATCCATGTACAAATTTGGCTGTGCCCCCTGGTTTCTTCAGGACTGTATTGTTCATGGGAAGAAGACAGTAGCAAATTGCTCCATAACTCTGTTATCTCTAGTCTTTGGAGATGTAACTGCTAACTACAGCTCACTGACAGAATAATGAAATACATTTCAAATGCAGCATTGAAGCCTTGCAGCCAGCCTGCCTTCTCTGGTGTCATACATGGTCAGGAAGTCTCCCAACCCCTTTGCTTGGTCTGCAGGTTGAACTTCTTTGCCCAGTGCAGAAGAGTGAGTGGAAGCTTGTAAAAAGTGAACGAAATTCACAGCCTGTGAGCAGCAATTCCAGCTGAAGGGCATCTGCAAGCTTGGCTGTGGTCATGAGGAATGAGGGGGCACTTCAGCCTGGCAGATTAGCAGGCAGAGCTGGCCTGGAGCTGGGCAGGGCTTGGCACATGTTGCACTTGAGAGAGTTTCTGGCAGATGCATTTTGTAAAAGTCAGAGCACTCTTTTTGATGCACTTAGTCTGCATTGGCAGAGAGTGTATATGCAGCTGTTCACACCCCATGTGCAGGACACAAGGCAGACAGAAGAAGTGGGGATGAGGGGACTGCAGCCCAGGAATGATTAACCTAAAACCTCCTACTTCTTATCACCTCTTGCCTTTCCTTTTCTCTGTACTTCCTCCCTTTGACTTAATACTTACAAAAAAAGCGTGACCTCTGCACACTACTGCTATTAGCATCCCTCTCCTGATTTTCTTGACTGGGCTGATGTATCTGATGTGCAGGGAGGTGGCAAGCTGTCAGCATGGGTCCCTGTTCCATTTGAAGGGAATTTCATTGCCAGGACAGGGATTTTAAGGTGTGTCCTTTCCTCAGGGTATTACAGAAGGTCTGTGGGAAGTATATGTGAGAATACCATGCTATTTCCAGTGTGCTTTCTAGGACTGTAAGACTTCAAGGATTACTGTAGCCTGTTGGCCCAAGATCCTTTGTAACAGCCCCATAGAATTTCTCTCTGCACATTCTGGTTTGGATTAAAGACGTTTTTGATTTGAGTAGTACCAATGGTTGTTCCCCAGTGCAAGGTACTAAAGTGTCTAAATATATTAAATTACTTAAAAAAATATCTGCTTATTTTCAGCCTTAATAGGTGTCAGCTTCAGGTTGATTAAATCTTATGGCTCCTGTAGGAAAAATAGAAATGTGGATACTTGAACTGAGGTAAAGCCTTTCCTTAGACTTTCCTATTTCTTAAGGTCCTGCACGGAACAACTGCTCTCATTCTATAAGCCTGATTTCTGGTTCCAGTCCTGCTTCCTCAGAAATCACCTGAATGTCTAACATTGTTCTTAAAATGGGGGAGCTGTCAGAGAACACAGGATAAAAGCAGTATTCTATACATTCTGCTTACAAGTATAAGAATCCCAGTAGTGATTTTTCTATAGCATTGTGGTGGGAGTTTGCCTTTGTGAGATGATCTGGGGCCCAAAAATCCAGTTTTGACCTGCTGCTTCCCAACATAGTCCCACACCAGTTGCGTTTGGCCTTTGATTCTTCAGTACAATACCTTAAGACTGACTCTTTTGGAGTTGTTTAATGTTTGCTTGAATCTAGCTTACAAATTGATCCAGATTACTGTGTAATGGTAATTTGTCCAGTTTGTTTGTCATGTACAAACTTCTACCAGGAACTTTTTAATAAAAATAGTCTTTAATGCAGAGGGAAAAACTGACTTTTCTACAACTTTACTAGACTACAGAAACACTGAGTGATGATTGTTGTGTTTTGGGGCCTTGTCATGTTCTTCAAGTGCTGCAAAGTTGATTTTGATATCGATGATCCTTGTGGGTCCCTTGCAACTCAGGATATTCTATGATTCTTGTTTAGGCAAAATGTTGTGCAGTAGAAGCATTTGTTTATGTGAACCTGTTACACTGTTTGATTCAGCCATCAGTATTGTAGTATCAGTGTGTTTTCTCCCAGACAGTGTGAAATTAATGTGACCAAATCTATTTTTGCACTTTTTTTGCCTTTCCTGGAGTAATTTGCTTTCGGCCACTTAAGAGATGGAGCAATATTTGTTCTCATATAGGAAGGCCATTTGTATGTTTCTATTCTAATGAGTCCATACTGAATGTTATACTTACTGCACAGTGAATGTGTTTATGTACAATGCAAGGAGACTTCGGGCCAGAAGACCTTCCCTTTCCATGTGCCACATATCTCTCCCTCATTTTCTGAGAGTCTTCACAAAACTAGGTGCCTTTTGAAACAAACTAGTGGTAGATGTTGGAGGGAGAGCAGTGAGGTGAATATGACTTACAGGCAGTGAGTGGCAGGAGAGGAACAGAATTCATGTCACTTCTGAACTCTGTTTTTTTGAAAAGGACTTTTCTGTGGATGTGGTCAGTATGCACGGGCAGGAGAAATGCAGAGCTTGTATTACTTTGTGGTGCATTAAGTGTGTGGTCCTGTTTTTAGGAAGAAGTATCAGAAGGTGCTATCCAGTGTTGTTATAATCCAAAAGAACTACCGAGCATACTTCTGGAAGAAGAGCCTGCTGCGCCTGAAGGCCTCTGCGGTGACCCTGCAGAAGCACTGGCGTGGCCGCCTGGCTCGCAGCCTCTACCAGCACTTGCTGCAGCAGGAACTCCGGCGGAAGCAGGAAGCGGAGGAGAGAAGGAGGCAGGAGGAGGAAGAGCAGATCAGAAGAGAGGAAGAGGAAAGACAATGGCAAGAAGAGGAGGAGCGTAGGAGGAAACAGGAAGAGGAAGAGGTGAAGGAAAGGTACAAGATGGTATCTTGCATTCTGTCTTGGTTTTAGACAATTTAAAGGGGAACATTCTAAAATGAGTTCTCCCCCTTTGTTTTAACCAGTCGTTTTCCACCAATAAGGAACGAATACAAGTAGCTATAAGTGAAAAAATAAGTTTACTAACAAGTGAAACTGCAACAGGCAAAAAACAGCAGTAAATAATGACTGTATACAAAATTGCTAAATCTCACAAACCCCCTGAGGACAAATTGGAACCCAAATTGGTGGAAATACCCTTTCCAAGATGGCACCTGCCACAGGCGATGGTGCATAGGGAGTCAAAGGGAAAATGGCATCAGACCCTCCCCCTCAAGATGACGGCCTTGCAGGTGACCACACTGTTGGGAGACAAAGGGGAAGGATGGCAGGAAACCCCCACGGCAATGAAGGAGCTTACCCAGCAGTTCTCGTGGGAAATGAGAAGTGCTGCTGTGTGTGGGGTCAGCGCTGCTGCTTGCTGCAGCTGCTGGACTCTGCTGAGTTTATTAGTACATAAATTTCAACATATAATTGTGTGGTATTTTGCTTTTCAGAAGTAGTTCTTCTAGGTTTTTGTAATGTACGTTCCCAAGGGGGGATCTCATCAGACTGTCAAGCATCAGAAAATTCTAAGATTAGAAGCATTCAACCTTGATCTTGTGTGCAGTTTTGGGCACCAGAATACAAAAAAGACATTAAGCTATTAGAGAGTGTCCAAAGGAGAGCAGTGAGGATGGTGAAGGTCTGCAGGGGAAGCCACAGGAGGAGTGGCTGAGGCCACTTGATCTGTTCAGCGTGGAGGAGACTGAGGGAAGATCTCACTGTGGTCTTCAACATTCTCACAAGGGGAAGAGGGGGGAGTAGGCTCTGATCTCTTCATTCTCATGCCCAGTGATGGGACCTGAGGAAATGGCAGGAAGCTGAATTGGGGAAGATTCAGGTTTGATATCAGGAAAAGGTTTTTCACCCAGAGGGTTGTCAGCACTGGAACAGACTCCCTAAAGAAGTCACAGCACCAAGCCTGACAGAGTTCAGGAAGCATTTGCCAATACTTTTGGGCGCATGGTGTGACTCTTAGGGTCACATCACAGGGCCAGGAGTTGGACTTGTTGATCCTGATGGGTCCCTTCCAATTTAGCATTTGCTTCTGTAATAAAAGGAAGGACCTATCTAGTTGATTTGCTGTAGAGTGTTTTTGCCCTTCTTGTGCCCCAGACCATGAGAGATGTGTTCAACCCAGCATCATGGCAGAGAGGTGTCAGTGTTTCTAGGAATCAGGGAAACTCATTTTATTTTCATTTGCTAATTAATTTTAAATGGCATCTGAGTGAGTAGCCAGGACGGTACTAGCAGACCAAGTTGGCTATCTTCTGAGCATCCACCTAAAAAATGGAAGTCCATAGAAATGCAGATCAGCTAATCTACTGAGAACAAGCAAGAAACCCCAACACGAGTGTAGAGACAAAATCAGAAGGACCTAGGTGCAGTTTGAACTGTAATGAGCTAGAAGTTGGCATGCAGTTTTTGTGCATACTCTGTTAGCAGAGGGGAGACATGGAACAATTTGGTCTAACACTCAACAGGAAGAAAAATAATAATGTTGAGAAAAAGGAGGTATTTGATGCTATTTTTATCTTCCCCAAAAGCTTAACTGTTGGATATTAAATACGATTAGGAAGGAGATACAAGAATTCAGAACATATGGAAATAAAAGGTTAGAAAATGCTCACATAAATCAAATTACAAATTATGAAGAAGGTATCGGGATTTGGTGAAAATAATGTTTGGGTACTTCAAGAACTAGCTAAAGCAGTTTAAGACAGTAGATACTCTCTTTTCTTCTCCTCGGTGGATAGTAATTTTTCCATAAAAATGGAAAATGCCAAACAATTACGACCCCCTTTTAAAATGAGAAAAGGAAGAATAAGGGAATTGTAGACCAGTCAGCCTGACCTCAGTTGCAGGCAAATACTGAAACAAATGATCAAACAGTTGTAAATACTTGATAAAGGAATCAAGCCAATGTGGACTTCTGAAGAATAAACAGCATTACCTGTTTCCGTCTGTGGTAGCTTATGGCATGTCTTGTGGACAGGCAGAAGCTGTGAAGGATAGGTAACTTGACTTTGGGTAAAAGGTAAAAGGTAGGTAAGGGCTTTGATATGTTACGACAATACGCTAAGATGCTAAAAGAAATTTGCTTTGGGAAAAAGTATGTGAAGCAAGATTAGGATTTGTGTTTTTACTGCATTTAATTAATAAACAATAGTAGTTTTTTGTTAAATAGAAGAGAACTCTTGAATGGGATTCTTCCATGATCTGTGCTGCATATGGTATTTGTGCAATGTTTCCATAAGAATTTGGATGAAGAAATATGAATATCCTTGTTAAATTTGCAGATAAAACCGTCTGCTGAGGGACTGTAGGCACATAGCCTAGGATTACAGTTCAGATAATTTTGGCAAGTTAAAGGATCTGAAAAACAGGATAACTTTTGGTACAGACATATGCAGATTTACAGTCAGGAATAATCAAATGCTCAGGGAGTGGAGAAGGAATGCTTACTTCAACAGCAGGAGAAAGGTCTGGAGGCTAAGTTAAATATGTCACCAGTATCATGCTGTGTGAGAGGGGAAAGCAAATGCTCTCTATAAACAGAATTGTTTCTGTAAGAAGTGGTGATGCTTCGGTACCCTTCAGCTGGAGTGCTGTCCTTAGTTTTGGGTATCACATTTCAGGGAGAGTGTAGATCAGTTGATGATAACTAGAAAGCAGGAAGAAATACCAAAGCTTTAAAAACTGTGAGGAACAGTTGCAGGAATTTGTATGTAGATTATAGGTGTTACTCCTAATTTGTTTTAAAATGGTTGTGGTTTTGAGCCCTCTTAATCATTTAAGGCAGTTGTTTAACTCACGATGTCTGCTAGGGATCTTTCATTATAGTTGGAACCATCTGGATCTCACTCATGTCAGCTTTCATTTACAGATAATTTCCTGGATTTTTTTTGAGAGAGCGAGAGTCGCAAGAGTGAGAGCTTTAAGGACTTTGTGACTTGCAGCTGTAGTTTAGAATTTGCCTGGGAAAGTCTGCAAGGCCTGGGAAATAAATATCATTGCTGTCCTGTTCTCCTTGGGGTAGAATTACAGATTTGAAAGTCACCACTGGCAGCAGTACCTTTCTTCCATCCAGCAGCATCCTATTCCTGCTCCTTAAGCATGACCCTGGCATTCGTCTGTCTGCTGGTTCAGTTGTTGTAGCACACCTCCACTGGAGAAACTGGCCATGGTGATAGCTTTGCTTTGGAGTGTAACCTTTTTGATCTGGGTAGAGATGCAACACCTTGGGATAGATTTTTCCTCTGCTCATGTTTACTGACAGACAAGCTGGATTGTGCATGCCACTGAGAAGTTAGGTGAGTTGGGGCTTTAATACTGTAAAAGCAAAACAAAACACAAATTCAGTGCTGCTATTGCAGTAATTCTGTTTTTAAAAAATAAACAGTTTCCTGATACCTGTCAATTGCACACATACAACTTCAATATTCACAGATGTATAGCACTTCAGAAGATTCTGTTTACCTTTATTATGAGTCTGATTTGTCTTTCTGTCACTGTTTCCAATGTCCTTCCTGGTGTGTTCCAACTAATCCAATTTCCTAATTGATCTGAAAGTTAAGTGCATGGGGAAAATCTGTTATATCCACAAAGGTCATGCCAACCACAGAGAATTGGATTTTTACTAAATTGCAAAAGCTTTTAAATCAGTCTTACAGCAAGTACCTCATTTTAACCTTATCCCTGGAGGGCTGATATGTCCATGTAATTCTGAAAACCTCACATAGGAGAACTAGGTCTTTCTCTGACTGTTATGTCTTGTTTTTTGACAGAGAAAAGGAGCAACTGAATGTGCTACTGCAGGTGGCCCAGGTAAGTTTAACAGTTGTTCTTTTCACGTGATTTCTTGTATATTTCTTGTATATTCTTGTGTTTTCTTGAATATTTGTAAAGAGTCCTTCATTGCCTCCACTTTGCCTGGATACCAATACTGTTACTGTGGCAGCACTATTTAAAAAATGGGCTTTGTTCACTCAAAACCTGCAGATGTTTGGCTTTGGCAGAAGTGCATAGAGTTAACAAGATAGGGCTTTTTTCAAGGCTCTTGTATGAGCTTGCATTGGTTCTATTTGAAAGTTTCCATATTGAACATGCAGCATCCTATTTTTATCTGTACTGCTTGAGCTTGTTAGATAACCTTCTGATGTGCTACACTGTGACACAGTCTGTTTTGCTGGATTGTTGCCTGTAACAGCCGAAATAAGAGTGCAGCTGACTGCTGCCATGGCTAAAATAAACCCCTTGTAACTGATCTGATTGTTCGTACTTGGCAAACCAAAGAGCAGACCACCTACCCAGAGGTGTGTGAAAATGGCTGTGTATCTCATTGGTTTTTTCTCATACCACTTGTTCCCCAGTTTCAGACCGTCTTTGTTCAGGAGAGGTTAGAAGCATAGAAATGTGCTCATCCACAAGTAAGAGTCTAGTAGAGAACAAGCAACAAGGTAGCTAAAGAAAACAAGGAATAAGAGTTAAGTGAGTCAATATATTGACTGCATTGTCATAAGTCCTATCAGGAAGTACATGAAATCCTATCAGAATTCATTTTTACTTTTTCTCATGTGTGTATCTGTTCTCTCGTGTGTGTTTTCAGTATCCTCTGTGGAGGGGAGGGTGGCTTTATCCTAAACAGTAGTGAAAGTTACCAGTATCTTCCATCTTCTAATTATCACATATCTGCTAGAAATTTCCTGTTACTTCAGTGTGGAGAGTAGAGTAAGACTGAGTCTTCAGCAGTCAGTCATCAGCCATCTAGTGATGCTAAAGAATCCCAAGAAATTCTTTGTGGAGTTTTGTTGGGCTGTGATTGGAGTGGATACAGTCCTACTTCATGCAAATATCCCTTCCAGCCCTAAATTCTGATGGTCAGATCCTCATTTCAGGAAATTATGACATTTCCAGACCTCTTAATGAATTTCTGGGAAATCTTCAGCTCTTAAGTGGTCTATGCGATTATGTGTTCATGTATAGTTGCTTTCTCCTATATGTGTGTGAGTTCAAAAAGAGAGAATGGACTTTCAGGCTGCTTTTGTCCCAGTTACAGTGTACAGTGATGAACAGATAGAGAGGCTTTTCTAAAAATTCACTGAACCCAGTGAGCTTCTTTGTATGATTCATAATGGAGGTGGATTGCTGGGAAAAAGGAGGTACCTGAAGATCTAGTAGTTCTCCTTTTAGCTTTTACACCATGAATGACTGCAGGATGCTTGGAGTCATCTTTCTGCAGATGGTAAGTACAAGGCAGGCACAGGAGACAGGAAGAATGAAAGGTCCAGGCAAGGAACACAGGTTGAAGAAAGTGCTTTAACACTGTTCTAAATTCTTTAAGGTGGACACAGTAAACACTGAGGAGGTGGATATTCCCCTGCAAGAAGAAGAGAGACGTCAGATGGAGGAGATCTTAAGACTGGAGAAGGAGATTGAAAAGTTGCAGCAACAGAAAGAGGATCACATGTCTGTCATCTCTGAAGACACTAGGAATGAAATCTATCGTCAGCGAGAAGAAGAGATACAGCGGTTGGAAAAAGAGGCATCAAGGGTTGCCCAGGAGTTCTTGGAGCTGCTGGATTTTGGCAATCTGGATGAAAGTGTGCAGAACTTAGAGCACTCACTTTCTAGTGAGGGGACGCTCAACATTGACTGCAGCCTGGTGGCACCGCTGGCTGAAGAAGAGGTGGATGAGGGTTTTCATGCCGATGATGAAGGACGGCCAACTTCCAGTTTGGTGGTCTCAGATCAGCGTGGCACAAGAAACAGTGGTAACTACTCAAAGGAAGTTGCAAACACAAGCCTTCTGCATCTCCAGAGGGAAGTGGGAGAGGTTGCCTCTGCTCCAGGACTGCCTGTGGAAAGAACCACTAGCCCCAAGGAGCAGAGAGCCCTATCTGACCCAGCAGAAAGCGTTTACAGCACTGTCTCTGATACTCAGAGGAGTAACAGTGGAGAGGCAGGAGAGCCCATTTACACCTCTCCCCAAGATGTGGAGTCTGACTATGACCATGAGGAGTTTGATGGCTATGGAGATGCAGGTAATGCCTCAGCTGAGCCTCTGAATGATGAGGAGGGTCTGAGACACTCCCATGGTACCAGCCTGGACTCCAACCGTGGTAGCCTGGACTCGGTGAGAATATCTCCCTTCACCTTTCTGGATTATTAGTGTGACTTCATTGATGTTTATAACAGCTTTGCTTTTTTACTGTATGCCTGCTCACCCTGCATTTAGTTACTAATATATAACTCTTCTTATATCAATAATCAGCTTGCAAAAAAGGGAAGAGTCACAGATAGGCTGAAGGTCAGAGGGCCTGTGATTGTCTGTTGTCTGCTGGCATGCAATCCAGTACATGTGTACCTATTTTAGATTGTTACCATTGCCATATGTTAATGTAACACGCTTTAGGAAAGCAAACAGCTGATGTTTGGAGGTCTATGTTCTACCTTATAGAGGTTTCACAGGAGGGTCCTAAGGTTCCAGTGTGCAGTGACAAGAGCAAATGGGAAAGGATGGGGTTTGATTTGATTCCATCACTAAAACTTCTCTTGTTCTAGGTCTGTTCAGAGTCAAAGGTTTATTTTCAGCTGGTGTGTACAAGTTAAGTTATTTTAACGCTGGAAGAAATTACTGTGCTGATTGGGCTGGGTCCCAGTGCACACAGCCAGGATCACTGAACCCTTTCCTTTCTGCTGCAGGGACAATGACAGGGTGGTAAAGCTGGGCTATTTGCCTCACACTTCAGCACTCAGCTTAGCTCCCACACTGGGTCTGGACGTCAGAGTGCTGTCAGGCCAGCTGCTTAATAATGCAATGATAAATCCCCGTACAGGACAGGATGTCAAAGCCCACATAAGACTGTGAGGAGTTCAGGTGTGAAGCCAGTGACAGCCACAAAAATACTTCCAATAAATGATATCCCTGAGAAGAGGCACTTGAACTAAAAAATACCTATTAGAAAACTATTCAGTTTTTAAATTTTTTTAGGAACTCATTTTATTTCCTTCAGTATGTTTTTCCAGTGACAGATTGTGGCCTTTCTTTAAAAAGTTGCATGATTGTCTTGTTTGCATTTCCCTAATGTCAGCTGCCAGCCATCAGAATTTTTTATGTGATCTGCTTGAGTAAAGGTGCCTTCTCTGTGGGCAGGTACTCAAAGATCACTGTCAGGTAATCTTCAAATCATGAATCATTCTGTCACAGCTTAGGCTGGTTTCTACCATTCTTCTTAAAATGCAAATAGAAGTGGAGGGTTTTGTTGGGCTCATCACTGAGTAATACTAAGAAAAAGCTGTTGATACTTGGTCATAGTGTGAGCCACAGGAAGCGATAACCACAGCTGAGTCAAGATCTCATCAGTAGCTGCTGTTCTAAGACTACCTGGTTTTTGAAACTTGATGCCAAGGGAGAGAATGAATTAGTGGACCAGGGGTTAGACAAAAGAGGGCCACAGAGAGAAGACAGAAGGGAAAATGAAAAGAATCAACATGCTTTGAGGAAGGAAAAGGTCTAAGGAACTACCTTCATTAGCATTAAATTAATAGAGCAAATTGAAGGGAGTTGTATTTAAGGTAAAGAAAATGATTTTGTGTGAGAAGTACTTATGGCTGAGGGTCTTTATCTAGTTGGAGAACAGAGATGAGTAAATTCAGTACTATTATTTCAGTAATTCAGATTGATGTTTTCAGGGTTCAGTTGTCCTGGACTGTGCTTCTTTTCCTAATCAACCCAAAGCAAGTAATTTCCTTGCTGGGGTTAAATCACTGTTCCATCTTGTCTGGCATTGCGGCCTTTCTGCCAGAAAAATCAGAAAGCTTCTCCAAAATGAAGAATTCTGTCTTAAACCCATCAAATCAGATTTTGCAAGGTGAGCTCTGCCTTGAAACAGGAAGTTTTGTTACTGCAGGGAGCTTGAGCTTTCTAGCCATGTCCATTGCTCTCCTTTCAGGTATGAAAATTCCATGCTCTTGCTGTAGGCGTTAATGGATAAGCTGTCAAGCCTCTACTTCTACCAAAGTGCTTTTTTTGCAAAGGGACTATGTGTAGTTTTGCACCTTCTGATCATGTGACTTCTCTAACCCTGTTAATTGCTCTGGTCCTCCTGCGACCAGGAGAACCCAAGTAGCCTATAATCTATTTTTTTTCTTCAGTTTCTGGAGAGTGAAGAAGAAGTGGATGTTTACATTGATACAGATGAGGAGTTTTGTAATGGACGAGTCACAATCTTCAATGGCTCAGGGCCACCCTATTTTCACAGTTACCTCTACATGAAAGGTAAGTGGATTTTGCCAAAACTATGGATGGATGGGATCCAGGAAGCTTGCTTTTCTCTTGTGTTTGTCCAGAATCATCATCTTTATTTGTTCTTAGTTCTCATTTTATTCTCCCTTTTTTTTTTTCCTATTTTATTTCAAGCAACAAATATAGAGATAGGAGCTGGGTGTCAGGGATATCTTTGCCACTGATACTTAATTGTGCCTACTTGGTATGGGCTTAAATGGTGCATTCTCAGCTATGAAACTGAACTCAGAACAAAAATACTTGAGTAGTGCATCTATTTCTGTATTTTGTTTTTGTTTCACTAATTTGGTTCTGCTTTTCCTATGTTTGAAAGCAGGCACAACTATGTTTCTCTCCTTCAGTTCCTTTGTTTGATGTAGGAACTGAAGTGGCAGCTGTTCCTGCCCAGGATCAGTTGGCAGGATCCGAATGAAAGCCTGGCCCCTGTTGCATGGCTGCTGAAATTTTGCTCCCTCGCTTTTGCAGGAGGACTCATGAACCCGTGGCGGCGGCGCTGGTGTGTCCTGAAGAACGAGGCCTTCATGTGGTTCCGCACCAAGCAGGAGGCCCTGAAGTCGGGCTGGCTCTACAAAAAGGGCGGAGGAATGTCGACGCTTTCGCGCCGCAACTGGAAACGCCGCTGGTTCGTGCTTCGAGAGTCCAAGCTGATGTACTTTGAGAATGATAGTGAGGAAAAGCTGAAGGGGACTATTGATATCAGAAGGGCAAAGTGAGTGCGAAAATAAGTCCCTTTGATCCCTAGTATTCACTCTCTAAATCAGTAATGAAGGGTCCAGCGCTGCTGTTCATTGGCCTGTGTATCTCCCGTGGTGCTTGGAGAATCAGAAACAAAGGAAGGAAAAGACATTCACAGCATCTAGTTTTACTCTGGAGGGAGTCTGCAATTACTTGATAGTTCTTTTCCCAGTCTTGCATTTCATAATCCAGCAGAAGCTCTTTCCAAGCCATGGATGGAGCCAGACCAGGAGGGGCTAATTAAGTACATACCCCGTGCATTCTCTCCTACCCAGACTCCATCTGTTTTCTGGCTTCTCCAAGCATTTCACAGAGGTATTATGAAGCTCACAGCGGGATTTGAATTTGGCAGCATGTACTGTGCCTTTTCCTGAGTCCTGAATGCTTTTTCTGCTGCCATAGTCAATTCCTCAGCTCCCACTTTAAGAAAGGACAGACTGGTCACCTGTTAGCATTATGCAGACCTGTAAAGTGCCAGAAAGAATGGTGCACCTGACTTGTAAACAGATCTCTATATCAGCCTCCCTGTTACCTCTTCTTCCATTTAGCCTGCTGGTGTCTTGAAAATTCATGTAGTGCCCTAAAGATTTGGTTTTTAACTGTACAGATATTTTTTAAACATTTTGATGTGTATTGGCAGAATTTTGTATTTCTGTCAGAGTTACAAGCCATCTGAACCAGTGATTTCCCTTCTCTGTGGTGAAGGGTATGATGTGAAAGAATCGACCAGATGGAATTCAGGCCTGTGAAAGGTTTTTGAGAGCTTTGGCACTTGTGCTTTCTTGTGTTCCAGAGAGATTGTGGATATCCATGAAAAGGAGAATGCCTTGGACATTGTGACAGAAGACCGAGTTTACCACATCGTTGCAGAGTCACCAGAAGATGCCAGGTACAACAGGGAGTTTTGTTAGGTTTGTTCATTCAGTGCAGGTCTGACCCAGCTACTCATGGGAGAGTTTGAGAAACATAATCAACTCCCTTTTGCTGGAGAAAAGGGGGGATTTGTTCCCAAGTGTCATTTTGTGCTTCCTGGGATGCATCACATCTACTTTGGGGACTTGATGATACAGCTAGCAAGATTGTGGTTCGATCTGCCTGTCACAGGACTGCCAGCTTCTCATGTGGCTGTGAGCATGCTGAATTCAAGGGTTACTTCAGCAGACACACAAACCTTAATATAAACTGGAACATATAATAGCTGATTTATTTATTTAATGGAGTCTTGAATCAAACAAAAAGTCTATTCATGTTGTCTGTAAATGATTGCAAGAGCAGCTGGGTTTTATCCAGGAGACAGAAAAAAGGCTACAGCTTATCAGAGTCTGTAGTGTCATCTGATAAAATCTTCCCAGTGCAAAGCAAACAAGTGACTCATGTCCTTCCTTCTTGGCATCCTGGCCAGACAGTGGGAATCAGTTGTTTAAGGGCAGGTTGGACAACCTGTCCTGGCTATGCAAAGCCAAGAGGTTACTGTCTACAGCCACTCATGTCTTCCCACTTTTACCAAGGCTTCTGCTCTCTCAGCCCTAATAGTGTAACTGTTCCTCTGATCTACTGATTCTGTGAAGTTATTTATGGTATATTATTATTTTGGTAAATGGAGAGAAAGGAGGAAGGTGTGTGGATACAATTTAACAGAAATAGATTGAAGAACAGCCATATGGACTAGAGAGGAGCAAATTTAGGGAGCAGTAGTGGAAGGAACAGTAACTTCTTAACCCAGAACACAACTGCAGTAGGCATGCCCTAAGATTTAACACTGCAGAATTGTTAGGATGAGTATAAGCCAAATGCAGTCTCTGTCTCTGCCCTATCAGTCTCTGTTCTGAGGGAGAAGAAAGCCCCAGTACTTGCAGTAGCAAAAGGCAGATGAGCAGATGCTGCAGAGTATCCAGTTTGAGAATCCTTCATGAAGTATGGATGTTTGCTGCTCTCACTGGAAGCTGCAGATAAGAATCTGCTTTTCTGCAACAGCGATTAGCCTCCAGATATGTCTGTAAGAGAAGCCCTTTCACAGACAAAAAACTTCACTCCAAATTCAATTGTAAACAAACCCATGATTAATTGCCAGCCATATGACTTTCAAGTTTATTAGCAGATCAGAGAGAGACTGATCAAGAAGGCTCCCAGGCGTCTCTAAGACTCTAGTCCAGGAAGATTCCCAACTAACTCTGTTTTGACAAGTGCTGTTATGCCCTTCTCAGTCTGCTGACATGGGCTACCTTTAAAGCCACTGTCTACTTAGAGTTCCTTGAATAACAAGTGGAAAACTGGATTTTGCAGGAGCAGCTGTCAGTGGGTTGAGGAACGTGCACAGAGTTTTCATGGATAAATAAGGAGGAAGGAAGACATTGGAATCTGGTATGATCAGCCCAAGAGATATTTTGTGACATAGTATTCAGGAAATTGTGAATGAAGAAATTTTCCCAGTGGCATCTTTCCAGGTTCCTTGGTCATGTTCTTGAGCCAGTTTCACTACAGAAAGTTTAACTCTGCTTCTGTTTTGATTGGCAGTGGTTGGTTTAATGTCCTGAGCCGAGTTCACAGCGCTACAGCACAGCAGCTGAGGGAAATGCAGGATGAACAGGCCAATCCAAAGAATGCTGTGGTGAGTTACTGTGCAACCAGCCTGTGGGCATGCTTGGAGCCCTCTGTGTTTAACTATTTGTGCATGTTTTTCCAGCACATGCCATGCTGTACTGAAGCAGTGTAAGAAAGTTGGACATTGGTAATTATAAAGAAACAGCAAAGCTGGTAGCAAAGAGGGCAAGCAGTGAGGAGCATGGTGCTTGTTGTGGGTTGCTGAGCTTGATCACACATAGCTCTTTTCAGCTGGAAGAGAAGAGGGAGGCTGCCTTACGCAGATAAATTTTTTTTGGCTGGGACTAGTCTGGGTCACAGTTATTCCAGACAGAAGATAGCAGTTGGGAAGAATGGTGTATTTATGTATTTTACCAGTACAGAGATAATAGCTAAGGTTATTTCAGACCTTCATAACACTCTCTGGAAACTTGTAACTGTTTTCCATCTAGTCCTGTGGAGCCCCTTGCACATCTTATGCTGTTTGGGAGCGAAGATGACTCACTTGTGCCTTTCTCGTGCGTTCATTTCTACTCAAGCTCTTGTAATTCAGAGGAATGGTTTCAATTCCAGTCTGTTCACAGAGAACACCCATAATTTAAAATGCAATCTGTGTCTTCTTCACTCTACAGGGAACCCTGGATGTTGGGCTTATTGACTCTGTCTGTGCCTCAGATAATCCTGATAGGTAGGTACAGCAATCTGATCATCTCTTAAATCAGAAACTCCCTACAACATTTTTGTGGGTAGGTCCTTTGGGGTTTGTATTTGTTTAAACTCATGCATCTTTTTCTCCAAAAAAAATAAACATAGCTGAAATCTCTAGCTTGTTTCAAACGGAGTCACTTCATAGGCATGAAGTCCATATATGTATTGTCTTTGAGTTTTTCCTTCAGCTCCTAAAAATGAAAACAGCATAATTTCAATGCCAGAAGATTATCATTTTATCTATTACCAGCACTGAACAGCTATGTCCAGCAAAAGCAGCACTTTCATTTTTTCAGCAGAGTTATTTTGAGTTAATCTTGTAAATTTAGGGGAAAGAAACAGCATTGTGGAAGAATAATGGATGAATTTAGAAATCTGAATTATTCTTGATATCTCTGCAATGCAACAGAGCACAGACCTTTAGTTAGTTAGTTTCAGAGAAGAGATAATGGGACATTTCCTATCACTTTATGTTAACATTTAATTTTTTCCCACATATTAACAGGTTCAGCCAGGGCAAAGATAGTCACCAGAGTGCTGAAGTAAAATGTTAGCTATTAAGTTATTTATCTCTGTGGTGTGGGGACAGAGCTCTAGGCTCTGCCACAGGTTGCTAAGACTTTGTTTTTAGTTGTTTACAAAATGCATTTTAGAAGTGAACTAAGATTTAATTGATGTAAACATTTCAGGCTGTTCTCAGCCTGTACTCCTCATAATTGATCTGTGAACCAGTGAAAACCAGGAACAAATAGCTGAATAGTTAAAATTCGTTTATGTATGTGCTGAGGTATGCTTTTCTTGAATATCAGTGTTTGAAGCAATGTTAAACAAAATCTGGGGAGAATGCTTATTCTCAACCAACATTTTTGTGCAGCTTATTTTTATCTGCCACAGGTTTATGCATTTTTCTAACTGATCTTGATTGCACCTTTTGCTTCATACTTGCACTCTACTTTTCAATTTCTCTGTTTTCTCATAGAAATCTGGTTTTGCTTTCAAAGTTTTCTAAGTCTATCCTATTGGAACTGGTCATACTTCTGTTTTTCTATTTTCATGTAAAGCATCAATTCTGTACATAATTGTGAATATTCTTTTGGTGAGATACAGTTGCAAGAGAAGAACTGAGTCATCCAGGAGCAACACAACCGTTTTTCCTCTGTTTTGTCAGGATCAGCTCATCCTTTCTAAAACCAATCTCAAACATGTTTTAGCTCATCCTACTGAGACCTGTGTTTGCTATTGCATCACTGGTTTTAATAAGTACAAGGGAAAGAGCTGTAGCAGCTCAGCCCAGTGGTACAAGCACTGGCTCATTCCAATCTGTCGAAGTCCCTTGCTAATAAACCAAGGACATCTTGCAGCTGCTTATTAGCTAATGAATATTTTCTAGTCTTTGGAAATATCTCTTGAAAGATACTTAATTTCATTTAGCTGGTCTCTGCATTCATCTGTTGACAGAGGAACTGATCAAGAGATGGTCTTAAGTATTTCTGCACTCCTGTGTAGTTTGTATTCAGAAAGTCTCTCTGTTGATGGGAAGGTAAAAAACGTGACTTTGAGTGTGCTGTGAGCTATTTGCATGGTTATGACTAATTTTAATGCTTTTGTTTTCTGACAGACCTAATTCTTTTGTGATCATCACAGCCAATCGTGTGATTCACTGCAACAGTGACACTCCTGAGGAAATGCATCACTGGATCTCCCTGCTGCAGAAACCCAAAGGCGAATCCAAGGTCGATGGCCAGGAATTCCTTGTGAGAGGTGAAAGGAAATGCATGCAATTACATGTGAAAATCATCTTCTCCTTACAATCTGACAGGGAGACTTGATTGTTGCTAACTCAGTCTAGGGTTTAGCTGCTCCCCAAAAACTGTCATTCTCTGCTCTCCCTCTACCTTCCTGCCTGCTGCTTGCCATGTCACATGTGTGCTAGCCCTGGCTCTTACCTGATACCTGCCAGGTGGAAAAAAACCAAAGTGTTTCATGTGTTTTATCTTCTGATGCTAGCTCTAGCCTGTTAAACATGTCCAGCAAATGCCACCAGGGAATAGGAAGGAGCATGGCTGCTGATGAGGAGCAGCTGGCTTAGATGGACTAAAACATGACACTGTGGCTTTTGTTGCCAGCTCAGTTCCTTCTGACACCTGTCATGTAGAGAGAGAGGGAGAGAGATCTTTGTGGGATTGCTGCTGTCCTCAGCTAAACTAACTGACCTGATTGTGGTAGACATAGTGAGGTGAGAAAAATTCTCTGAGGTTGAGCAAAATATTTAAATTACATCTTCAGTCAGAGCTTAGTTGAAGATGGCAGAGCCTGAGTAGGGATCACATATATATTGCAAAATATTCTTACATATTTTTTAATTTCCTCTATACTTTGAGCTCATCACATGGTCTTAAATGTATGAAGACACTCCTGATCCAGTCTGTGGAAAGCAAGTGCATGAGCAAATTGCCTTGCATCTTCCAGAATGTCTGTCAAGGAATAAGGGTCCTGGGGTGGTCATGGCAAGGCAGAAGGACAGGGAGAAAAGGGTTCCCAAAATGTGGCAGAAGCCTTCAACCCTAGTCTTAAAAATTTCAAGGAGATTGAATGATATAAAAGAGACTATAAGACAACAGTTTGAGTGCCTTAACTTCAAAATACATGATTGCAAGGCAGCAGTTCCTTTTATCTGGTATTGTTCATTAGTCAAAGAGAAAAAGGAATCATCCTTTGCAGAATATGCTCTGCTCTTCATAATAAGGTGTCTGTGTGACAGCAGAGTAGCCACAAAGCCATATATTCAGGAAGGTCTGTCTCTGTCTTTTCTTTATATGGAGCCTCTTGGTTCAGTCTCACATTTTTTGAACATTTTGCCTTGTGGGTGGACATTGCTTTTTACACCTCTGAGTAGAAAATTATCTTTTTGACAGCTTTAGCAATGCAGGCTGTAATTTTTTTCTGTTGAAGTATTGAATTTTCTCAATCTTTTTTTTTTTCCCCCTTTATTTTGCAACAGATCTAAAATGACAGTGAAATTATTTGCCCTGATCATGGGAGCAAGAGGCGCACTAAATGACATGTTTGTGTTTCTGTGCTAGGCTGGCTTCATAAGGAGGTTCAGAGCAGCAACAAGATGTCCTCTCTGAAGATGAAGAAGCGCTGGTTTGTTCTGACAAACACTGCCCTCGACTACTACAAGTCATCAGAGCGCACAGCTGCCAAGCTCGGCACGCTCGTGCTCAACAGCCTCTGCTCCGTAGTGCAGCCCGATGAGAGGGTCTTCAAAGACACAGGTGAGAGGGAGAAAGTGGCAAAGGGCAGACTCTGGCTGTGCAGCTCCAGAAGAGGGAACTGTGCAGGACTGTTGTGGTGTGTCATATTGAGAAGGCTGTCTTGAGGCTTTGTGTCTGGCTGCAAACAGCTCTGCCCATGGAAAGTGTACTCTTCGCAAAGTGTGCAAGTGACTGTAAGTGCCTCACACCTGACGGAGATATGCAGTGCTGATGTTTCTCACTGAGTAGAGTCACTGCTTATCTCAGTGTTCCCCAAGCAGGGTAACAGGTGTGAGTTCCTGTAGTTGACACTAATTATTGGTACATCTCCAGAACTGTCCCTTTGTGGTGTGACCTACATTTGTCTCTGGGGTCAGTGTTAACCTCTTAAACAGCAGCCATCCCATACACTGTAAGGGATGTACAGTGCATGTCTTATGGCATCATTCAGCTTGATGGAAACAGAAGATGACAAAGGCCTGCGTTTGCTTTTTGTGCAACATGACAGTTCTGGGAAGGCAGGATCTGGCATGATCCTCCATTGCTTGCCTTAGGAGTTTGGAAGGGAACCCAGGTTATGGGATAAAGGGTGAAGTCTGTGAACCTTAGAAAGACTTGAAAAACTGGACATTTGAGTACGAGAGTTTGGGACACCTTTTAAAAGGGCTGGAAGCTGTAAGTATTTAGTAAAGAGAGATGAGAGGAAATTTGTTCTGCTTATTCACAAGAAAGTGTCCACATTTTTAGTATCAGCAGATGTCTAGGGCTGCCTTTAGCAGATAGAATTACCATCACCTTGACACGTTCTCTCAGGTTGTCAAACACATATTTTTAAGAGTTCTGAGAGTAGACTTGGCAATCTAACTGGGTGCTGTGTGTAGAGTGGTCATTTTCCAAGTGATTAACAGGACAGTGTAGTCCAAATGCTGTCTGTGAAAGTGAGCTGCCCAGTTGGCAGGCAAGTAAGTCAGGTTACACTGCAAGATACTTGCATCTTGGAAATCTTCTTTGTACCAAACTCTGGACTGGAACCTTCCTGTTGATAAATCTGTTTTGGGAATGGGGATGTTAATGTCTACCTAGTGGATTTTAACCAGACACACCGTATGTTGCTATGAAAGCAGCAAGGGTTTTCAAGACCCAGAAGCAAAATGAGAATCTAGTCCACCACTAAGCCATGTCCCTAAAGTGCCACATCTGCACATTTTTAAAATGCCTCCAGGGATGGTGATACAACCACTTTCCTGGACAGTCTTTTGACAGCCCTTTCCTCTTGTCCTATCACTTGTTGCTTGGCAGAAGGGACAGACCCCCACCTGGTTACATCCTCCTTTCAGGTAGCTGTAGATAATAAAAAGGTCCCCTATGAGGCTTATTTTCTCCGAGCTAAACACCCCCAGCTCCCTCAGCCACACCTCACAGGACTTGTGCTCCTGACCCTTCCCCAGCTCCATTGCTCTTCTTGGACACCCAAGATGATTTGCTCCATAACCTTCCCCAGTATCGAGCCTGGACTGATGGACCTGTAGCTCCCCAGAGGCTCCTTCTGGCCCTTTCTGTAGTTGGATGTCACATTTGCTAACCTCCAGTCAACTGCATAATACAGAGGCCAGTTTCACCTTCCAGCTTTGTTGCCACCTTTGTTTCTCCACAGGCTACTGGAACATCATAGTCCATGGGCGGAAGCACTCCTACAGACTGTACACAAAGCTGCTGAACGAAGCCATGCGCTGGGCCTCTGCCATTCAGGGTGTCATTGACACCAAAGTTCCCATAGAAACACCTACACAGCAACTCATCCGTGACATCAGGGTAGGTGGCATCCTGCTAATTCCCACCGGAGTTGGGAGCAGCCAGACCACCACTGGCCTAACCCAGTCATTACTGAGAATGTGGCAAAAAATGGGTTTGCTGTCTTTAGGGGAAAATCAAAAAGAGTGAAAAAAGAAACATACACAACTGTGCAACAAAAAAACCTCAAATATTGCATGAATTTTATTTTGTTAACTGATCTGGATAAGTCTAGACTACTATTTTGTGCAATTAAAAATTGCATGAAGGATTACACCATCAAGTATTTGCATGTCTCTGCTCCATCCTTTCCACTCTTAAGCGTCCTCCAGACGCAAATACAAAAAAATCCATTCCTACCAGTCATCTGACTTTGATGTACCATGAAGTTCTGTTCATACCTTAGGCTTGTGTGGTTAAATGTCAGAGTAAAGGGTGGAAAGACAATATCCTTCAAAATAGCAGAAATTGTACCACAGGAGTAATTTTTGAGAAGAAACTTGCCAGAAGCTTCGGCAAATAAACCTAGAATCATTTAAGAAGACACACCAAAGAAAATTTCAGAAGAAATGTGTTTGTGATGAACTCTTAACTTGATGCAATTAGATAGTTGATTGTAGAGAATCTTGGAAAACTTCAGCTCAGGCTTCAAGGACAGATGGAACATTATGTATTGTTAGGGAAGGAGTCTAGGACAAAATGCAGAAGAACATGATCCTGTGTGTATGGTAGTGACAGGCCCAGATTTTAAGCTCTATAGAGCATTTTGGTTGTTTATTCTGCAAACACATACAGTACAACTGGACAAGTTGAGAACAGGCTCATTATTACACACTGAAAGTGGTTGATCTGTGGTCAGAAAGTCCATTAACCATGTTCTGTTGAAAGCTTGAAGGACATAGGAGAGAGAGGGATTATGCCATATATATTACACAAACCACGCTTGGAGGTGAGATTCTGTGCGTGGGTGACCTGTGGGATGATGCACCATGGCAAGTCTTGTGTTTAATTTCCAGAAATAACGTACAGGGTAATTTTTAGATATGGACTATGCTTTGATCACTTAGTCTCCGTAGGCACCTCCAGAAATACAGACAAAGGTAGTTGAGCTTGAACCTAAATGTGTTAGGGCATCCTGCAAAGGACTGTGCCTATTTGAGGATAATCATTATTTTTTTGCTTTTCCAGGAAAACAGCACAAACTTTGAAGTAGTGGAACAGACATATAGGAGGAACCCAATCTTGCGATACACCCAGCACCCCTTGCATTCCCCACTGCTCCCACTTCCCTATGGAGATGTCAGTGTCAACTGTAAGTATTTTACCCAAGTGACAGAATCCACTCACATTTTGAGGGTCAGTGAGGAGCCTGTGCACCAAAGAATGGACCTGTAAGCTCTCTCTTTGTAGGTGAAGTCTCTTTGGGGCAATGTAGCCCACAGGGTTCAGGGAGGGAGCAGTCCCTTTCTCTCTCCCTTTATTCTCTGGAGTGTGTTCCATGTCCACTGCCTCTTACCATGGGAGCACCGAATCTTAAAGTAAATGGGGCAGATACTTTTATCATCCATCCAGGGGACATGCAGCCTGTCATTCTTTAGCCACAGTTGGGTTGTGAGTGGCTCCAGTAGAAAACACTACAGCAGGATTACATCATGCAGCTGGCAATGGGGTAGTATTTCTACAGAAGCTACTGTAAACCCAGAATAAATTACTACTTTCTTCAAATGTGTCAGAAGCATGAAAGAGCTAGAGTGATGGGTCACCAGAAGACCAAAGTGATTTGCTGATGATTACAGACTGTTTGACATATTGAAGCTGGAAGCTGGTAAAGAACTATAGAAGAATGTCTCATGTGGAGTGATTGAGCCACAGAATCTTTTAAGAAATTGATTTCAATCAAAACATTGTATATAGGAAAAACAGTGCCACACAGGTAGTGATCTAGCTGTGCTTAGGAAAGTGAACATCAATTTACACAGCTTTATGAAAACGTCAGCTCTTCTGGTGAGTACAGAAAAAAACCCAGCTAATGTAAGGTTTTGAGAGCTTAGAAAAGGAAAAATACTGTGCAGATGTATATATATCATGCACCTGCATCTTGAGTACAGGATACAGTTTTGCCTTCTACATCTCATCAAAGATACAGGAGATGTAAAAACCTACCCAAAGATGATCAAAGGCACAAAAGAACTTGCCTACAACTAAGTGACTAAATAGAGAGCAGGATTCTTCAGCCTCAAAATGAAGCTTTTAGGGCCAGAAGACTGTCATGGAGAAAGTGAAAGGATACTAGGTCTGTCACAGTACAAGGAGCCAATTACATGGCAGATTAAGAGCACAGAATTCTGAAATACAGAAAAATTCTTTATTTTTGAAATTCTGAAATACGGAAAAAATACAGAGCAAGCACTTACAGTGTGGAACTTACTTTTAAGAGTTGTCTTTATACAGTTAACACATGGCCACTGGGGAAGCAGAGGCTGTACAGGAGATTCAGAAGGACCTAAAGCCCCAGAGATGTGCAAAGGAGAATGCAAGCCTGCATCTGAATGGTATCACACGTGTCTGAGCAGTTCAAAAAGCACAAGTTTTGGTCTAAGCATTTTAAATCTAAACAATAGGTATAAGTTGCATTTGTGGTACAGCAATTTGCTTAAGTTCTATGTTAGCCTGGGGTCAAAGCTAATACGGGCACAACACAGAATATTGGAATTACACAAGCCAGGTTTCAGTGGCCACATTCCAGTACCTCGTTTGCAGACACTAAAGCCTGAACTAGATTACAGTGCTCATTTCCCTTAAAAATACTACTCTGCTTTTCTGCACAGTGTATCCTAAAATGTGTTGGGAGTGGTGACAAATCAGACGTTTGTAAATACGAATTAAAACTGCATTTGAACATTTAGAGAGGAAGCATTAATGAACTTACAGTATAAATTTAAGTTTAGGATATGCACTAATGCTTAGGTTGCTGTTCTTCCCTGACAGATGGGCACAGTTGATTGTAGTGCTGGTGGGCCAGTAGAAAATGAGGGAGATGCTCACCTCTTCCACCTTTGTGATTGTTCCCCAGTGCAACAAGAGAAGGGTTACAGCAGCTTACAGGATGAAGCAGTGAAGATCTTTAACTCCCTTCAGGAAATCGAGACAGTGTCTGACCCCATACCCATTATCCAAGGCATCCTGCAGACCTGCCATGATTTAAAGCCCCTCCGTGATGAAGTGTACTGCCAGCTCATCAAGCAAACCAACCACATGCCACATCCCAACAGTACTGGGAACCTGCACCACTGGCAGCTGATGACCTGTATGAGCTGCACTTTCCTGCCCAGCAGAGGGATCCTGCGCTACCTCAAGTTCCACCTCCGAAGGTAAATGTCTCTTTCATTTGCAGCTTGTTTCCTTTTACTCTGCGATCATCCACTGCCTGTTCTAATTACCTGTCTTGTCCTCTTGCCGTGCAAACATCTTCCTGTGCTGTTCCAGCCTCCTGCCTTTGCCCAGTTCTTAGCACCAGCTGTTCTGTGTATTCTGTTGTGTATCTGTTGTGTCAAAAGGATGTGGAATGAATGTAAGTTACCCAAACAAAATACTGTGAGACTGTTGCAGTGCTGATGACCTGCTGCTTCCTAATGTACATATAAAGCATTATCAACCTGCAGGAAAGGTGAGGACTGTACTTTCATACTCATGGAAGTATGTACTACCTTGCAGCTGGCACAGGCAAAAAGCATACTATAAAGTAGGAGAGAGACTATAAATCCAATTTATAATTTTTCAAGATTATGTGCAACTAAGCACATAGTGCTTGCAGTTGATATTTTTAATCTGTTTTAACCTCCTATTTCCGTGAACTAAATAATTTACATTTGTTCCCAAGTCATCCTCAGCATCTGATGCAGCTTAACATAGCAGTCTGCACTGGGCCTGATCTGCAGCTGTGTAACCTTGGTTCATTCTTAATGATGAGAAAGATCAATAAAATCTATATGATTCCTTCCAAGCTAGGAAAGAGTGAGATGAGATTTGTGTCAGTACAGACATAGCTACATCCATGGCCTGGGTCTAAGAGATACAGATACTCCATGTAGCCATTTCATTGTTTTATCACTAAATGTTATACTTAAACCTGCTGGTCTTGGAGGGAAGAAAACAGCAGGCATCTGCTGTCTTATCTTCTTAATTCTCAAACATAATGTAAAATTGGCTCAAACCCAGCCAGCAAATTAAAAAAAAAAAGCAAAAAAAAACCAAACACATTAAGAATAAATGAAAAAAGTTTACATTTGATTGCACAGTTTTTAATCTCAGTTTTGTAAATGGAGATTGTCAATCCTGCTGTCTTCAGCTGTCACTAAACCCCTAAATCTTTGAACTGCTTATTTCATATATTGCTGAGAAATACCACGGCAGTGACTTTCAAACTACTAGTAAAAGAAGATTGTATGATTTAGGAAATGAGCTTGGTTTTTGTGTGGTTGCATTTGACATCAGCATCTCTACCAAACTCTTCACTTGCAGTAGTCTTAATTTTTAGGGTAATGTGTTGTTCACTGTGTAATATTTTTGTTTTTTTTGTTGTTTTTTTTTTTCTTCTCTTTACGATTAGGGTAAAGGATCTCTTTCCAGACTCAGAAATAGACAGGTATGCACAGTTCATCAGTGATTCCCTGAAGAGAACAAAGACAAGGGAGTTTGTGCCCTCCCAGGAGGAAATACAGGCTCTTCTCACCCGTGAGGAAATGACCACAACAGTGTATTGCCATGGTGGTGGCTCCTGCAAAATAACCATCAACTCCCACACCAGCGCTGGGGAGGTAATGCGTTAGTAGGATTAACCAGATGTGAGCACATCTGTGTCTGGAGAGTGGTTGTGTTGAAGGGACACCTTTTTCTCCTTTATCCCCTTTATTTCCAAATTATATTTTTTTTTTAATTACAAGTTCTTTTGCTATATCTTTGGGCAAAGTTCTGCCTATTCTACAAGGCCAATGCCCAGGTTGTAGAGTATCACTTGAAAATTGTGTTGCAAAATCTAAACACTTCTGGTGTTACGCCCTTTGTCTGAAACTTGATAAACACAATTTTCTGGACAGGAGAGATTCCAATTCATAATGGAATCCTTCTGAGAGGGATATTCTACCAGTAACTTAATCATTAGCGGTCAGAATCAGGATTCCAGGTTGCAGTAGTCATGTCTGTGAAAACATTAGTGCTAAACAGAGCAAAAAGTGGAATTGTTATTAGAGGAGCTGAGAATGTCATCATGACGTCTGAATCCATTATGTGCTTATATCTTGTGCAGAATTCTAATTCCCCCATCCTCAAAAGGGTAATGAAGGTTGAAAATATGCAGAGAAGAAAAGTGAGGATGATCGATATAAGTAATGACTTCATTGCAGGGAATGATCTTTTAGGATTAGAATTCTTTAATCTGAAAACACAGTAATTAAGGGAGAAATGTGATAGAGATGTGTGAAGTGATAGGTGTCCTGAAGAGGTACTGATTCTTCATTGTGAAAGGGGGAGTGGTGCCTACTGTGTGATGTGTCTGATTTTGCAGGTGGTTGAAAAGCTGATCCGAGGGTTGGCAATGGAGGACAGCCGGAATATGTTTGCACTCTTCGAACATAATCAACAGGTTGACCGTGCTGTGGAGAGTCGGGTGATAGTGGCTGATATCTTGGCCAAGTTTGAGAGGTAAAAAAAAAAGTTTCATGAAACCTTTAATTTCTAGTTGGATGTAACACTGGATTTCAGAATCCAGGGTTACCTTCAGATTGTGATTTGCACTGGGGACATTCCAGTACCATGATACTTCTCCTTACTGTTTTTCCCCTTCCCATTCTCTTTTATATTTTACAGACTTGCTGGCTCTGAAGAAGAAGAGGAGGAAGGACAGTGGCAACTGTATTTTAAGCTTTATTGCTTCTTGGATATTGAGAATGTTCCCAAAGATGGTGTGGAATTTGCCTTCATGTTTGAACAGGTAAGCTAACTCTGGGAGAATAATTTGGTTTCCTGGATGGCAAAAGCACACAAAAGGATACAGAAAACTGCTTTACCTTTAATTAGTAGGAAGTAGGAATGCTGGTTGTAGCAGAAGAATTTAGTGTGTTGGATTTTTGCCCAGAATCTACTAAGCAGATAGACTGTGATGTTTTCTAGGAAAGATGAGTATTATAGAAAAAACAAGAAAAATTAGTAAAGGCTTAAAAAAAATTAAATACTAATGATAATTAATTTTTTTAAACTCGGTCTTCAGTTTTAGAAGGCAGAGAAATTTGGGTAATGATTCAAGAGAATCATTAAATGTAGCTGTTTGCAGAGCATAAATGTAAAGAAAACTGGAAAATCCACCTACCTGCACATCAGCTTGAAAGAACAGCACATCCTTGGAGCATTACCAGAACTAACTATGAAATGTCTTTTGGGCGATTTCTTTTGATTAACAGAGTGCTAGAAGAGTGCTGCAGACAAAGGAAAGGAGAATGTAGTTGACAATATTTACCTGTTGAGTTGTCTGTTAGTTTTTTAAGTCACTGTACTCCATAGCACAATGATGCTGGCAAGATCAGAGATCACACTGGTATGAAAGAGCCTCACGGCTGGGATGTGAAACTAAACCGACTGGAGCACCCAGCTGTGTGATTACTCCTGTCTGTATTACTTCTAACAAACACTGACCTTGCTTCAGAAAATCATAGCTGTAGAAAATTACTGGATCTGTGTTAATGGCAGTCAGAGTCATGAAGACTGAAACTCACTGGAAGTCAAATGCATGGCGTGTACCTGACTCAGACAACGGTTCCTTTCTTGAAGTGAACGTCACGCGTTGTTAGCTAGGGAATGTCTAGAAGAGTCAGGAGCACATGGTGCTCCATGGAGCCTCAGTTGTACCAACTCCCTGTTGACAAGGTTTTCAGTCTGCACAGCTTTAACTGGCAAAGAGAAGTAACAGTAGGAGAGTAGGTGTTACCCAGACATTAGATGGATGTGCAGAACGCCCCATTAATAGATTCCACAGAAAAACAGGCAAAGGGAAGCAAGAAGATTGGTGGAAACATCAGGTGAAGTAGGAAGAGGTGGGAGGTGTTTTTGTGTAAAGAAACTGAGGTTGAGAATTGGTGTTTTGAATATAATCTTCACACAGGAGCTGTAGCTTGTACAGCACAAAACCAAATTGCTTGAATTCTGCTCTCTCACATCTCTTCTAGACCTAGAAGGTCCTCATTGTAGGACTTCCTGTACAGGATAGGAGCCCCTCAGAATCTCTGTCCTGTTCAGACTTGCAGAAAGGGGTGTTCCCTCCATATCAACCACTTGCAGACTTTGACATATTTATTACAAAGTCTGCTCTGACCTCCTGAATTATATCTATCCTGCTGGAATCCACAGATGTGACAGGAATCTGTACACGGACCCAGATGTGAATAAAGTGTGCTTTTGCTTTCTAATGAGTTTGGGGGACTTTTTGTTTGTAGGCTCACGAAAGCCTCATAGCTGGTCATTTTCCTGGGCCAGAGGACACTCTGCAGCGTCTGGCAGCTCTGCGGCTGCAGTATCTTCATGGAGATTATTCCAAAATAAGCTGGACCCTTGATGGAATCTACCCAGTTAACAGGCTGAAATCCAAAATACTGCACTCAACAAAGAGCAGCAGCAGTACCAGTCACACTCTGGAGAGGAGACGGACCAGCTTCCTTGAAGGGACATTGAAGCGCAGCTTCAAGACAGGGTCTGTAAAGAAGCAGAAGGTAGAAGAGGAGCAGATGATGGAGATGTGGGTTAAAGAAGAGCTTTCAGCTGCTCGGGCAAGCATAGCACAGAAATGGACCAAGCTGCAGGGGCTCTCTCAGCATCAGGCCATGATGAAATACATGTCCATTGTAAAAGAGTGGCCAGGTTATGGGTCAACCCTCTTTGATGTTGAGGTGAGTGATAAATTCCTAAAACCACAGCTGGGAAGAGATACCAGTCTGGAGAACAGAGCTGTGTGTAACAGAAGGGAATTTTGGGAACTGGATACATTTTGCCTTAGTTGTCTCAGGGAAGACCTGCAGTACCACAATACCCAAGAGTTAATACAGAGAGCAGGCAAGGCAAGGCATCCTGGTGAATGAAGGAGACAATGGATTCCCACTTTGTTAGAATAATGGTGGAGTGGAGGAGGAGAGAGGGGTTTAAGAAAGTGGTGGCTAGTGGAGGTCAAAGTGAAACAAAACTCTGGTGTTCTCACCTGCAAAAAGTGCAATCCTGTTCTGCAGCAGCACAAGAGAAACTGCACAGACGGGGGAATGTGCAGCACTGTGCTCAGGCTGCTTGAGTAGAAGACCACAGTTCAGTTCTGTCAGTTTTCCTGCTGCCAAGGTTGACCACCATGGGAAGTTGCTGTATTATCTGTAAAATAAGAAGTGAAATACTGACTTCCTACATCACTTTAAAATCTGATGAGAGCTGTTCCCTATTACAGTTATTTATTACTCAACTAGTATTTGTCTAACAGCTCTGTCACTTCTGAATCTTCGCAGCAGAAGTGCCTTCAACATAAAATTCTGGTTGGTGTATTGAGCTGAAATGTCCTATAAGAGCTGGAAACAAAGGGCTCTTTATTGAATGGAGAATTACTTGATCCTCCACTGCATTTATACAAAAGGTCATGTTTCTCTTTCTGCAGTGCAAGGAGGGTGGATTCCCCAATGATCTCTGGCTTGGCGTCAGCACAGAGAACGTGTCTGTCTACAAACGAGGGGATCCTAAACCATTAGAAACTTTCCAGTATGAGCACATTGTTTTCTTTGGAGCACCACAGCCCAACACCTTCAAAATTACAGTGGATGAGAGAGAAATGTTCTTTGAAACCTCCCAGGTACGTGAAAGCACACAGCCACTTCAGTCAAGCTTCAAGAAATAGACAGGTTTCTGTGGAAGAACTCTTGACTAATGGACTACTCAGCCAAGGGAAAAGATGAAGGGAGCTGAAGCCTAAAGGGCATGGTACCTCTTCTTCAATACAGGGATTAACAAAAAAAATAGGCTGGTTAGAAAGTGAAGGAGGGTGATTGATGTTCCAGTGCATCAAGAGTTTCCAGTTCTGGGTGCTCTTCAGTTTGCCTGGTTTTTTTTTATTCCTTTCCAGTAGATGAATGGGGTAAGTTTCACAAATGTAAAAAAAAAAAAAAATTAGTAGAATGGAAGTTGCTTTTCTTTGAGCTAAAAATATTTTAAGGTGTTGCTACAGCAGAGCACAAGTTTGTCAAGCCTTCCTTTTCTTGTCATGTTCACATTTAGTATTAACATGCAAAATTTATTTTTTCATTACTTTAGAGAAGGGAAATTCAGGAAAATGTCCTGTATGCCTCAGTGCACTGAGGTTTTCTAAGTGCTAATGCAGTGTTGCTGTGTTCTCTCCCCAGGTGGGCGAGATAATAAAGATCATGAAAGCATACATCAACATGATCGTGAAGAAACGCTGCAGTGTCAAATCAGCCACCAGTGTGGACAGTCATGCAAGCATCTGGACTAGGTGATACGGATGAACTGGCACTAGTTTAGTCATGGGTATTTGCAACTTGCCAGCACAAGTGTAGCAAAGACGTTTCTTAAGAATTCAACTGACTACTGTATTTAAAACCTGAAGTGACAACTACAGTACCATAGGATTTGCACCTCTGCCCAAAGACATTAAACAGTTACAACTGTTGTTTAATACTAATGACCCAAAACTTCTTTTCCCCTTGCTTGTTTAATGAACAATGTACCTTAAAGAAGCAAAGTCAGAAGCATCCTCCTCCTCCATGTCCTCTCTGCTGCTTTCATTATTACCTGTCATACTGGCAGAAAAATTTACAAGGATCATTTCTGCAGGACAGGAGACAAGACTTAAGCTTCCTTAAGAATTTTGAACATGCAGATACCTGGGATCATGTGATCACAGCATGGTCTGCTTAAAGAATATTTCTTTTTATTTATTTTGCAAACAAATCTAAAGTATAAATCACTGTGGGATTGTTTTTTTTTTTTTTCTTCAGCGTATGCTAACGATCTGATCTGGTCTTAAAAAGAAAAGCCTTTTGGAGCCAAGTGGTCCAACAGAGAGGTCAAACCCTACATGAGAGAGCATTAAACAAAGAAACAAATAAAAACACCCAAGGTGCTTGTTCATGTTCCAATAAAAGGTCAAAGGTACACAACTGTAAAAAGAGGCACTTTCAGTTAAACTACTAAATACTCCAGTCTAGGAGAACACCTCTGGGACTAGCACCACTGAAACAGGCCCTAAGGTGCTATTCTGGGCACACTGCAAACAGTGCCTCTTGCATAAAAAATAATGACTGTCATTCCCCTGAACAATCCAGGAGGGGACATGTTTTTGTAGCATTTCCAGAAGAGCTCCTCTTCACAAACTCCAGGTATTAGAGAGGTTGGATATTTATGGTGAGCATAAAGATTAAGATCTTTTTTCTTTAGAGAGGATTTTAGGATGACTGGGGTCCTGAACTTAGTTTAAAGTGAACTGTTTCCTACTGAGTGAATAGGTGCCTAGATAAATACTTATAGGCAAGATTTTTACTTTCTCTGTACTACAGTAAGCAAATGCCAAATCCTTTGTCCACCCCAAATTTAACAAGAACTGCTCACATCACTGAATCCCCAGGTCCCCATTCAGTCTCCTCTAGGTCCTTAGTCCACGGCAGAAACTTGAAAACAATGCTATTTTGCCAAAACAACTGCTTCTTAACCTGCACTTTGAAGAAGCAGAATTTTTTCTTCTTCGTGAAAGACAAAAGTCATCTTCAATCTCTTGACTTCAGAAAGTTGATTTAATTGTTTAAAAGCAATATTCAGTATCAGTCCCATCATAAATTAGTTGCATTAACAAACAAGAAACCTGGTGGTGAGCCATTTTCTATGACCCTTGTCTGGTCTTTGGATCCCAGAATGCAAAGGCCCATTCAGTTTCTTACTGAAACTGCAGAGCTGTATGTAATGTCAGCCTTTTTCCACATTTAAAATTGGCTGTCATTTCTGAAATAGCAGCAGCTAAGGCCTGTTAGCTATGAAACAGAAATTGCACAGAAAAGTAGGAGTCAGTATGCAAAAGGTTCCATTCCAATTCATTATCAAATTGTGCCATATCACTAATAGTGTGTTGCAGAGCACTGGTTTTGAGGGTGACAGTACAAGAAGAAACGCTGTACATAACCCCTGCTCCTCTCTCATTTCCACTACACTGCAGCATGTGCAAACACTCCATGCACTTGCTACACCATCAGCCGAAGAGGGTGGCCACTGCTGTGCATCATCTCTTCAATTGGAGTTTTGCCTTAAAGAGCATCACTGATGGATCCTACAAACACCCCCTTGTTGTCACAAGGAGTAAAGAGATGCCCAGGTCACAGGTGGGAGAGAACAGGAATGCAGAGGCCACCTGAGAAGCAACACTTTGTATACACTGCATACACTGGCTCAATCTCTAATGTATCAGTCTAAGCTTGATTATCCCTACTTTATTATCCTAACTCTGCACTAGCTCTGTGTTCTGGCTCTTGGGTTGCTGCAGGCAGCTTGAACCCACTTGAAACATAACTCCCACTACTATTTGTTATAATTTTGCTCATTTCTATTACAGAATTCCTTCTTCTGTCTTTTTTAATTTGTAACTGGCTTTACAAGATGAAAGTTTAATAAATTATTGGATTGCACAGGCTGTATTCACTTACAGGCATTGTGTGCCCATGATAAGGTGTTTACTCAGAACTTAACACTTGGAACTGGTAAATGAAAAGCAGGTGTCATTAGCCTGAGGATACAACCCTTCCTCCCAGAAACAAATTTTGGGGTCAATAGAAAAGAGTTTGCTGCTACAGTGAGGAAGGTATGTTTCCAGCTTCTGCTTTACTTTCTGGGGCTGTCACACCTTTGATCAGTGGGAGAAGTGCCACTGGGTCTGAGACAGCAGAGCAAGGAATTAATTGTCTCCCAAGGCCCAATCTTGTGGGATCAGCTCCATACCTTCTCTTCAGCACCTCCAAAGTCACTAATAACAGCAAATCACTTCTGGTTCAAATAACCTGCCAATTTGCAATCCCCACACAAGTGCATGGCCTGGCCATGCTGCTCACCTAAGAGCTTGTGTCACTGAAGTGAATTTGGGCTGGGAGCAGCTGAGCTGTCAGCAACACAGATCATCCCATTTGCAGACAAAAGTGCCCTCAATCCATACACAGGTGTGGAACCCAAGCAGTGATGAATAATCCCCTCATTGTGCTCCCCTGTATACCTTGTTCAGATGCTCTGAGAGCCTCAGGACCCTGGAGATCAGTCTATACAGTATCACTTGCCTTTATCCTCTTGCATAGACTTTCCAGGTCTTTTGAGACTGCAAGTGCCTCTGCTTACTGCCAGCTAGCCAGTCTCCTTTCTGCACAGCTGTTGAATTTCAGGCTGCATTTGTTTCATTAATACATTTCTATAAAGACAACAAACATGCAGTGCTGCAGGTCCAGTATGACAGCAGTACACACGAATGCATTTATTAATGGTGGTCCTGAATAACAGCCCAAAGCAGTGGCCAACTAAAAGCCTTGTCTGACTCCCTTTGTAAATGTTTGAGCACCCTGTCAGTGTGACATGCAGTCCCCCACCCAAGTATTTCTGTAATAGTTAATTCAAGTTTGAATGCTCTATTTTATATGAACTAGTTTCATGACAATTTATAATCAGCACCTACACCACAAACATGAAATGATTTATATGCAATGACACTGCCTCAGGTAAGTTGTTGCACAAGGTCACATGTCTAGTTATTATTGGCTGTAAACTTAAAACATTTATTTGTACCTAGTTCTAATACACACAGCCTCTCCCTCTGTAGGCTGTGTATTGTATTACTACCCTGTGCATTTGCTTCAAAGTAACATGCTCCCCTTGAGCCTTTAAGTAAATCTCACACGTGAATTCCAGCCCCCTCTGTAAAATATGAACTGAATCAGTGTGATGGAATTCTGCCACCTCTTGGCTGCTTTTTTTGACCAGAGATTCCTAATGCACAGTTGGTGTACACCTTGGCCCCACTGTACAGTCAGCACCAAGGTGAAGGCCAGTAGCTGGATTTCCAGTGCCAGTCACTTACCCAGTGCCAGTCACTTGCCCCAATGCCAGCTCGGTGCTGCTCCAGCATGGCTGTGACACTCAGCTGGGAGGAATCCATCACACAGAGCACCTCAACTCTGCAACCCTGTTTAGGTCTGAATGCACCCCAGAGCAAACGTGTTCAGGTGGCCGATTCCTGGTTCCTGCCAGGTGTTTGCTGCCCAGCATTGGCTGGGCCAGCTACAGAACACAGCTCTGGTGTTCCAGAGCCCAGCTCCATCTCCCGTCTCCTTCCCACACTGCACCCAGGGACACATCTGGGGCCCTTCACAGCCGCCAGGCACTGGCCCTCAGGCCTTCCCCAAAATGCTGTGAAGGGCTCAGGATTAGCAATACAAACATGTCTTTCCTGTAAAAGCAAACACTTAAAAATCCTGGGCGACTATCACAGTGACAGCCGAAGATAAAGTCAGTTGGCTCTGTACTGGGTTACACTCTGGGTGTAGTTCTTTCAGGGCCACTAGTGAGGCACACACATTAATAGCAACTTACCTGCCTTGTTCCTTTCTCCTGTTGCACTGTTGAAGGCAATTCAGCTGCTTGATGAGGCATACAAAGACACTGAATCTGCATGGGAAGAGACAGCCTGGTTGAAGAAGGTGTGGAGGGAGCCCCTTGGGGCTGGAAGAGGGGAGAAGTGGCTGTTGTCCAGAGCAAACTCCCTGTTGTGCAGTGAGTACTTGGGCCAAGGTCAAGAAAGCTGCTCTCTGTTTTCTTGCTTGCAGAGGAGGGGGACAGACCCACCCTGCCAAGGTTGTGGTGTCCTGCCGCTACAGGATGTTCCAGCTGTCCACAGCAGCTGTTGCAGCCCTTTCCCTGCAGCCCATGGCAGTGTTGTGGGGCTGTTGGCAGTGCTCATCCCACATGTTTCAGCCTTGCAGCTGCTGCTTCATTGAAGAAGTGATGCTGTCTGGTCCCCCTTCCTGGAAGCTTGCAGTGGTGTAAAGCTGCCTGGTTGGTTTTTCTGTCTGTTTTTCTGTCTGTGGTGGTGTATTCTCCATCTGGTGGCTTAATAGTGCTGCAAAGCAGATATGAGAGAGAAGAAGTACAAAGAATGGTGTCCGCAGGAGACAACAAAAGACGGAATTTCAGAAATCCGGTATTTTTCCTCAAAGCAGCTCATGATGCAAGCCCTGGGCAAATGTGACTTCCCATTATCCCCACACATTTATAATTCACACTTTCATTTAACACAAGATGCTTTTCAAATACCTAAATCATGTTTATGAAAAAAAGACATTTCAATTGCAGTTCAGTTGCTAATAGTGAAGACATTGAATCAAGCATATTTGCAAAATCATCTCAACCCACTACTTTTGAGTTTAATTTGAATATACATATATGGCTTGTTAGCTTTAACAAAGTGTAAGCACCATGATTTTGTACAATTACCTCCTCTGAATAATCTTCTATAAGGGAGCATGACACATGACATTTGAGAAGTTCTATAGAAAGCAGGAGCAATACTCTTACTACTGGTATGAGTGTCCCAAGACACAGCATGCAGAAAAATATCTCTGTTCTCATTTGTTCTAGCAAAAAATGCATAAGAAGCCAGCATAAGTCAGGAAGAACATCTTGAAGCAATTATTTTGTATTGCTGGAATCCACTTTTTTGAAAGTCACCTTG